AAAGTTAACCTCCACTTCAAGGCATTATATTACAATAAATAACCAAATATGATCGGTCGAAAAATTTGGTTAAACAAATGCTATCTTATTATGTATAAGGATATATAAAATTTCACTTAATAAAATTAATTTGTTTGTGAAATCTCTCTCACTACTTCACTTACAAAAAAACTATTTAGTCAAATAATTTGTCCCTTTGTACGAAATAACTTTTGCAAAAACATTTGTTTTCATCTTCATCCCCTCAGAATATATTTAACCATTCTAATCTAAACGAAACATGCTGTATAATATATATTATTTTGCAAAAACATTTGTTTTCATCTTCATCCCCTCAGAATATATTCAACCATTCTGATTTAAACGAAGCATCCAGTATAAAAATATATATAATAACGGTGAAGCTAGTAATACGAGTATTATCTTGTTTGTCTTTTTATATTTTGTTCTTGGTGTCCTTCAACCAGTTTCTTGCGTAACAGTTGACACGCAAGATTGGATCGTGAGAGTTCAGGGTTAGTTTTCACACCGTTCCAAGCGTAGTTAACTCACCTATCGCGAACGTATCGTCGTCCCGCTAAAAGATAGTACCTACACGGTATGAAAATGGCCCTATCTTCAGTGGTCTCTCCAACCAGTTCTTCGAAGGATAGATATCAGGGAAAAGGGAAACGGTGTGGGAATGAAAAAGTTTCGAGGGAACGTTGAACTTTACCGTTGCTCGATATTCGTTCAGATCACGTAATCCTTCTTTTGTCTGAACGTTATGCTCGGTAACAGTACACGTTGTCATTTCGTGCCTGGTCTGTATCATAGCACGGAATGCCGAAGTACAATTTCGTGAATACCGTTACCGATTCCTTTGTTTCCCGAAGAAAAACATCAGTTCACTCGTGTACATTTCACACAAAGAATCGCTGCGACGCGACGCGGGGCAAGATGTAGTTCGCGGCACGACAAAAATCAATATGTAGGTGTTTACTTCCTCTTCTTTTAATTATATATGGAATATAAGAAAGTAGTTAAACAATTTATTAATTAGTAACATTCGTATCTAACAGAGTGTACAACTAGATGAATGTAATGTATGAAACGAAATGATGAAATGACCAATTAGAGCGACAAAAGTAAAATTATTTTAAGATAATAATGATGATGATAATGATAACGATAATAATAAAACTATTACGCGTGTTTCACTTTCGCTACCACTACTTACACTTTCATTATGACTTAAACTTTCAAAATAAACGACATATATATATATATATATATTAGGATCAACATCAAGAAAAGATATTTTATTACCCGAAAATTCCCTTATCCGAACAGGGATAATTAAAGATCTACAACACTGACAAGTATGTCTCTCGACTTTACTTTCATTCAGTTGTTGTGATTTTCTCATTTCTTATAAAGAAATATCCGTTGAACCGTGAAGCGTAAAATTCGGTGTGCCACACACTGTACACATTTCACTAGGTGAAAATTACTCGCAGACTAACGATTTTCGATTTATTGCTCCCTGGATTTGAACACTGTGGTCATGCTCGCGGAGCGACGCGTTTTCCTGTTTGCGGTTAAGAAGTAATAACAGTTAACACGATAACCAATCCCGATTTGGCGCACTCAGCGTAGAAATCGATATGGCCGTATTGCCGACCTCATTTTCATACGTAGCACCACTCGCAAAAAAGGAAAAGCGGGTCATCTTTTCAGAAGAAGGAGAATTAGATGCTAAGTAATTAACTCGTACGAGCTCGCTTGAGTAGTTGAAATACGTGCTTCGTGCGTGAAACCATGATTACAGAACTGGGGGCTTGTTCGACGCGTGAAACTTTTTTTTAAATATGAGTTTAATGTTCCATCACTTACGTGGTTATTAGTGACGAACCAGATGAGCGCTATAAGTAAGTAGACACGTTGAAATAATTATATAAAGGAGCTGTTATCGTATGATCGTAAGAAAAAAACAGTTTTTGTTAAAAATTTTTATTTCACATAACAAGTAGTTGTGTAATAATGGTTAACGTTTTTAAACATAATAGTAGATACATTGTTTTTTGTTTATTTTGGATGATTATTTTTATTGATATAACCACGGGAAATTTGTCCTTTTCGCCGTAACTTGACATTGGATCATCCGAAAGCAAAAAATCAATCATTTTTTAATAACGTATTATCTAACAAGGAGACCTTATGGACCTGATGTCACGGACTTTGATACAATTTTTTTGGGTTATTCTACAGCAAAAATAAGTATTGTGTGCAAAAAGATTTGTACCAACGTTTCTTCGTTTTAGAGAAAAAAAAAAAAATACTTTTCACAGCTGATAACCCAAGTGTTCAACTAACACTACATAAACACATAAACACTACACACACTAACACGAACATAAATATTAGCGGCGGCTAAAGCGCAAGTTAGTGGGACGTATGCTTTTTTTGTCTCATATTCAATCCCCTGACCGTCAAATTTTATTATTACTCAAATTCAAAGTAGACGATTTTGTACGTGTTAGCAAATTCAAAATGATCTTCGAAAAACTAAAACTGTTCGATATACAAAAAACTGATCCACCGAAGCATTTAGAATTGTTAAAACACAGAGATCTCATCCCGTGGAACAAATGGCATACAATAAACTTGGAAAATTGTTGTAGGACACTTTTTAACTGTTCACCCGTATTCGTGTAACATATTTCCCTTTTTCGCACTTTTGTGGTTTTTTGTATCCTTTTCCAGCAAGTTCAACCAAAAAAAAACTATGATTAAACGAGAAAAATTTCTTCCTTGGTCCGGGATTGAACACGAGTTAAAAAATCGTTACCCCAGTAACCTGCGCCTTAGCAACCACAGCTAGTGAAACATTTGTTACATTTTTGCATATTTAATATATCAATTAAATATCTCGTAATCTTTTTTATTTCTTTTTTCTGAAAAACGAAGAAGCATTGTTACAAATCTTTTTATACACAAAATTTATTAGTATCGCAGAATAATCCCAAGGTTTAAGTATAAGTTGTAGAGAGGTCTTTTAAAAAACAATAATTTTGCGCAAAATGGCAACGTTTCGAACACATTCTAGTCTTGAAGAACGCTCATTTCTCATGTATAAAAAAAAATAGGCTTTAAAAAAAAAACCTCTCAATAGCACTTAGATAATTAAATACGTGATTCAAAAATGCTTGTGTTTTCAATATCGGACAAACATAGGATACTCATGTTTGAAAAAGATAAAGCCAAAACTTCGTTAATTTAAGGTATTTTTAAATACAAAAATTGCGACACATGCACTAACAAACGTTCTTTCGAATACCTTTAAACTTATTATCAGAAAATTTTCCGTTTGTTCACAAAAAATTCATAAATATACTCCCTTTTTCGAACTATCCTGGGTAAGGCTTTTCCATTAATAATACTTTTATAAAGACATTACGACGACCATAAAAATGTTAATTTTCAGTAGCTAGTCGAACTCGATACAGCAAGAAAGATCGCTGCCGCCTGCAACCAACGAGTCGCTCGTGCTGAATAAATAAAACTGGCTGCAAGGGTGGCTCGGGTCTTCTGTGCTTGGAAAAATTGGTGTCATACAGGATAAGACTACTGTACATAACCCCTTAAGGCAGTCTTTTCCAAAGTAGGAGATGCAATCCCTAAAGAGGGGCAGCTTGTAATCCAAAGAGGGGCGCGAAAGAAACTATTTAATATACATAGAAGAATGTGGATAATTTAAACATCTCCTTTTATTAATACATTGTCCACTAGAATTTAACAACCGTAGGAATATATTTTTTCCAACCACTTTAAATCGCTTAATTTGACGTAGAAAGATGGGTTATAGTCAGATAAGAGTGTCAGATATTAAACCTGTTCTAATTGAAATGTAAATAAGAAATAACTATTTGAAATAATTAACTTTGGACCGTTATTTTCAATATAGTTATTTGAAAATAAGAATATCAATTCATTCGAAATAATAACTATTTCTAATAACGAATTATTTCGTTATTTTTTATTCTAAATTTGATAACAGAAATAATCCATAACATAACGTGCAACAGAAAGAATTTATTTTATGAAAACTTTACAGCCATTTTTTTTTAACGAAACTCTGTTCAAAAAGTTCATCCCTAACAGATTTTGTTTGTGACCATTTAATATTATTATTCTAAGAGAAAATAATAATCGTTTCAGTGCCAGTGGTGTCAATAATGAAACAAAGAGGTGTCACACTTCAGAAAAACGTCTCTTATAATCTCTTATCTAGCAAAAATGTGGATACATTTATTTCTTTTCGAGTTTGGATAGGAAATGTAGAATTGTTTGCGATTTCATCTTCAACGCCTTCAAATTCGATATCATCGTGCAGTTGTGATTTCACCTGATTCAATTTTGAAGAACAATTTCATAATTACTTCAAACTATTATTTCAAATAATTTTGAAATAATATATGTTATTTGGCGAAATATTTAAAATGATATTATTTCGACAGTGTACAGATGTATCACATGTACCCTGAATTCGATATGTGATACATCATTCGTATAAATGATCGACAAAACAATATGTACAAAGTTTCAAGTCCATATTCCGACTTAGTTATGTTCTTGCTCGATTTCTTCTATATTATTAAATGAAATTTTTTTTTTTAAATCTGAGACATTTTAGATAAGGCGGAATATTTAACAGAATTTTTTCAGATTTTTTAATTGCAATCTATGTTGTAAAAAAATAAAACTATAACAAAAGTGAAAGACTAGTTCTGCATTGAAATCGTTAGAGCATTAAAATTCGAATCAAAAGAAGATTATCTCTCATTCGCTATTCGGAAATTCTTATTTAGATCATACCGAATATTTGGTTGAATAATACAATTTCAATAGGACAATATGCAAAGATTTTACAAGCTAAGTTTCACATACGTCGTTATGCTATCTTTTATGCGACATATTTTTAAATCTTTTAATTTCCGTCTGTTGTACATTTCTTACAGGTACTTTCAACTTAGGAGTGAAAATGGGGAAGTATACACGAAAAACAGAACGAAACGTTATTTGTACGGAACAAATTTTAAACGAGGTTAGGAGAATAAAGTAGAATAAATTAAAGAGAAAGTAAAAGATTTGTTGCTAGTGTAATTAATCTAATATTGGAACCTACAAATTATGTATACTTTTATCTGCTTTACTGCAAAATGTTTGCTTTGCCAAAACAATAAAAATACGGGTATCCAGCATTCTCGCGAAGTACTGAAACTTTTGTTGTTCAATTATGTATGACGTTTTTGTTTGTAACGTCTTTAGCGGACATTTCGAAGTTGCTATATTAATGCTATATCATTATTCCTATCAAGTGCGTGCTCTTATTCATCCCCATCGTATTGCCTACTTTTCGATCCGTAACACGAGGAAACTTCCTTAACTCATAGTTAGACTGCAAATTTTAGGCACTCAAATACGAGCATAAATATGCTAACCATATTCAGAAATATGCATTCCTGAAGAACAAAATAGTATCGATCATTACAACAGTAATTGTACAATAATAACCAATGTTGTTCTTTTTTAAAACGTGTAAAGATTAAGTTAGGAATTCGAATGTTAATAGTAGCAGATAAAGAGATTTATATTTTTCCAAGTTCAGAAAAAGAGTTTAAGCTTAAATAAAAGTTTGTTCTATCTCCTAAACGGTATAACATGTATATTATCGTTGATGTTTCATATATTGGGTTGTCCGGAAAGTCCATGTCGATTTTTGGTAGGAGGTATACGTCTGTTTACATTGGAATGGTTGAAAACAAATAACATGCATACATCCCTTAAAAGGTGGAAAGGTTGTGGAACAAAATGGCACCTATGTAATTCGATAAATATATATATTAAAATTCAAACGTGTTTTTGAATGTTTCTTAGAAATTGCCACGAACTTTCTTGGACAACCTAATACTTTTGCATTTATAGACATTGTCATAGACTTTCCCATATTTTCATTTGCCATAAACGTATAATCATCCGCAGTTTATTTATTGGAATACTACTTCACAAAACATATTTTCCACACATCTTGCATTTGATTCCCAGAGTATGATACGTCGCAAGTGCATAAAACCTGCTGTCTATTTATAATTAATGTTATGATACGATTTTTGACAAAGGCCCTGTGTTTTCCAGGGTGGTCGAGTATGGATACCACATCCCGAGAAGGTTTGGGAGGGCGCGGTGCTCCTGGAGGATTACAAGCTAAACCAGCCGAAGTTGAAGGTCCGTACGGACGACTTGAATCAGATCAAGACGTTGGAAATAAAATCGGACGTCGACCTTCCGCCCCTGAGGAATCCCGACATACTGATAGGGGAGAACAATTTGACGTCGTTGTCGTTCCTCCACGAACCAGCCGTCCTCTACAACCTCCAGATACGGTTTCAACGACATTGCATTTATACGTACTGCGGCATCGTTTTGGTCGCCTTCAATCCGTACAATGAGTTACCCATTTACGGAAATGACACGATCTGGGCGTACAGAGGTCAGGCGATGGGCGATCTGGAGCCTCATATATTCGCCGTCGCAGAGGAGGCGTACACGAAATTGGAAAGGTTCGGCTGTTTCTTTCTACCATAGATTTTCTTCAACAAAAGCTTGTTTTCTACGTAAAAGTGCAATCTATACGTAAACAATAAGAAAATGGACACAATTTGACAATTTCTATTTTTTCATGGCGATGGAAGAAATATTCGTGTTCTATTTTAGCCGAAAAAAATCAAAGTTTTTCATAAATATTGGCTCGTAACAGTTAAACTATTGAACCGATTGGAAAATAATGTTTGAAATTCGATTACCTTTAAAATGACGTCTTGCGCGACTCAATCGGATGTTTCTAACTCGAGATATGACCTAAAATGTGAACGTATGTCAGAAAAAAATCGAGAAAAAATTCAAAAATTCATATAAAAAAAACTTATCCATAGAACAATTTTTTCTTGCGATTTTCGAGTTTAAATTATTCATAATTTTATTTCAAAATTGTATCTGTAACCATTACTAAACAATATGAAGCATAATTCCATTTCATAGTTTATACTGTAATTATTATTTAACGATGTTAAACAACACTTCAGTTTATAATCCAAGTTTAATTATTATTGAACCATATTAAATATAATTTCACTTTATAATTTAGAATTGTAATCAATATTAGACAATATATTTAAATATTAATTATTATTCAATAATATCAAGGAGAATTTTATTTTATAATCCAGATTGTAGTCTTTTTGGCACGATATGAAACATAATTCCATTTTGTAGTTTATATTGTAATCATTATTCAATGATATTAAGCAAAATTTATTTGGTCGAACTTTTTAGATAAATTAATATTTTTGTTCCTCTCTGCTAGTGAGAAACTTTAACTTAAATAATTATACATTGTTGTAACGCAAACGTAGGGAGGGTCACGATCAATCCATCATCGTCTCCGGGGAGTCTGGGGCAGGAAAAACGGTATCCGCAAAATATACGATGCGATATTTTGCAACTGTCGGCGGTTCCACAACGGAAACTCAAGTCGAAAAGAAAGTCCTCGCCTCTTTACCGATCATGGAGGCGATCGGCAATGCGAAGACAACGAGAAACGATAATTCCTCAAGGTTCGGAAAGTTTATCGAAATTCAATTTAATAAACATTATCACATAACCGGGGCCAGTATGAGGACATATCTTCTCGAAAAGTCGAGGGTTGTTTTCCAGGTATGCCAATCTATACAATTTCAACGCTCGCACGGTGGTTAAAACTCATGAAACAGGTTTAGTTTGTTATATTGTGCCCTAAGTTTCTCCATTGAGGTTTTTAGTATACGTGTTATTTATCCCATGAATTCAATACAGTATTTCACTACTCTATCACATTTTCATTTGTTGATAGAAAGTTTAAACCTTTGTTAAAATTGATTCGATATTCTATTTATGGTCTTAGGCAATTTTTCGGTCATTCTTATTAGGTCCTCTTTTGCTACATACCTATAAGATTAATAATTGAGGTTAGTATTTATTATTAAGGAATAAATGGTCGATTATAATACACATACCTGTTTGTGTATCATTATTTCAATGTATGTCACATGTTTTTATAAGCATACAGAACTGCCCAGTTAACTCTTGGATAACCATCGAAGCTAGTGAAACTCTATTAACCATCTCTAAAAGAATGTGCTTGATTTTTTCTTATGGAGCAATTGTATGCCTTTTTGTATGTATATTACCTCAAATTGTTGATATTACAGATAAGTAGGTAGTTGTAGGATATCTAATAGAAAGAGTCGCAAATGTTCACTAGGCTTGCATAGACTAGAATAAATATAATAGTATGAAACAAACTTAATATATGTTATTGATTCAATGAAATATCAGAATTTATTAATTGCACTTCACAGAACTTATTTAATTAATAACATATTATCAAAAATTATATTTTTGTTTAAAATTCTTACCCCTTTTAAACAATAATTGATTGAAATTATATTAATTAATATATCAAATTAGATTGTTTAACCGAGACTATTTTATACATTTATGTACACTTTTGCGTTTATCATGAAATTCTCGTCAGCATCAGTAAATCATTTGAATACTAAATATAACACACAAATAGTATATATGTGTGTTTTGTTTTTAGAAAAATGAAAAATGCTATCAAAAGTTTAGATAGTAGTGTATTTCAATAAGGCTGAAAGCAAAAATAGCACTGTTATTTCATAACGAGAAAATGTCAAAAAAGAAGCGAATAATATGATAAAGAAAATTTTTGTATGAAGTTGACATTTTTCGAGGTTGCAAAATTATCATGCTTTTTCTTTTTTTTTTTTAAATAGTATGACGCACTTCTGTTGCAGTATTATCATAAACATTAAAAGAAAATTGAACCACTGATAATACATATATTGATCTTTGAATGACCTTCTGAAAAGCTATTTTTATAAAATCATAATTTAACGTATATGGGCAATTTAATGTTTATCGATTCAATATTACTAAATGTACAAGAATAGAATATCGCAAAGCGTGTTCGAAATTACTTGAGTATCAAAGTGCATGTCACAATGAAGCTCAGTGACACCTTCCAGTATAATGCACAGGATATTTTAGTTTGTAAGTCAGAGAAAAATTGTTGATCCTTGTATACATTTATTAAATATCCTATATAATGTAAATAATTTTAATGTTGTTATTGAAATGCCTCTGTACGTTACGCCATTATTATATAAAAACACCTCAGAAGGTCAGTCAAAGGCTAACATACATAGTATACATATTTTACATGGGTTGCAATATTATAGTAATAAATTTGTACTATTTTAGTATAAAAAAAAGTGGGTAACTTTAAAATTGTGGAAAATGCATAAGAAAATGTGTATTCTAGCAAGTGAAAAACTACAATGATGAATTAGAGACACAAAGTAATGAAGAAAACATACTGTTTCACGTCGTATCATTATCCGTGATAAAGTACTTCCCCTTGAGAAAAATTTTTGCGTTTACTAGGAGTGAACGAGATTGAGATTATATATGTATAATTATATAATTCGACAAGATATGTTGTTCTGTAAAATGTAAATTACACTGTCCAACGCGATTTTTTTTCCGCGATATCCACTAGGTGATTCTTATAGGGTTCCTCGTCCTAAATATGAATCCGAAAGTGAAATTGCTCCATCACCCTTAGTTTTCAAGAAATTCGCGATTTTGTAAATACGGTCGATTTTTAGAAAAAACGTAGTACTACTTGAAAACTACGAACGTTAGAAAGTTCTATTTAGTCTTAAACGATAGAGGAGTGTTTTCTGAATATAATGACATGTTCCTTTAAAATTATCTGCTCCTTTGACTGCCTGTAAATGAACACCGAAGTTCGAAAAGGTGATGATGCGTGAATTTTTCACGAAATACTTTTGTATTTTAATGAAGAGTTATTCACCTAGGTCGATTTTACACTACGTTATCGGATTCTGCAAACATTTCTGAAGAGAAAACCACCCGCGGCAAATGTTGGAACGGTTTCTAATCCATACGGTTTGACAAAACGTCAACTCGGAACGCATGAACGGTGTTTTGCCGCTGCACAGCCATTGCTCGCTATGTTTCGGTCAGTCAGGGCCGTCGCTACGGGATTCGCCTAATCGGTGCCACGCGCTATCGGTTTTTGTGTTACATTAACATGTTCCAGATAAGTAATTCTTCATTTTTAATATTTCATTTATACTGCAACTCAACAAAACGGAGACAATTGTCCACTGTTTAAATTTTAATCATTAATTTCCCGTTTTTGTATCTTCAATTATTCGACTTTTGGTAATTTGGTATTGAGCAAACATTATGTATATCTAAATTGAATTATTTAACAATTAATTCAATCTATAATTGTATATTTTGTTGTTAATTTTTAATGAAAACTGCTATCTATAAAAAATCTCTCTTTAGAGCAGAGTTTACTCCTCAAATACTAACTTAAATAACAAAAGATTAAAGTATCGAAAAGTAGAAACATTAAGCTTTAAATTGGTTTTCTATTCGTCAATGTGGGGCGAATTTTAACGAAGTTACGAGAATTTGATGGTTATTATTCAAGCACGTGGCGACGATTGTACAGAACGCATGACGACGGTCCTGATTCACCGATATAAGGCGAGCGAAGCCTGCGAGCGAAGCCTGCTTATTCACGATCAATAAAATTATAGTTTGTTCTTAATTAATTAATTTTTTTATTAAATACCAAAGATACATTACAAATAAGGAAAAATATTACACATTTTTATGTGTAAAAAAAAATTCTATTTGTAGTAGTAATTTTCTTCGATTGTGTGAGGAATAACATACTGATATATGACAAAGGGGGTGACCAAGGTATGATAAAGATTAAGAACTACTGGCGCAAAAAAAGCTCCTAACAAATTAGACTAAATACTTGGATTTTGGAACATTGATAAAGTCTATAATAGGACATTTGCAAATGCATATTTGGTTTGAAGGCAGTTTAAGCACTTCCGGCGAAGATAAACAAGTGCACATTGCTGGAGAGCAAATAAGGCTATAATTTTGAGAACAAGGTCAAGTAAAGTACAGTTCATTTGAATTTTCTCCATTGTTTCCTTTTAGGTTTTTCTCTCTTTTTTATTAGAAAAGTAAACTCAAGTTACAATATGAAAAAAAAGTTTCAAATTCAATTTAATCACCATACATATTTTTTCCTAAATATAATGTTTATCACACATTCTACGATGGAAAATACTTGAAAAGGATCTAAAGAAATAGAAAAGTAGTTTTTCTTAACTAACTTGAATTTACTTTCCTGATTAAAATGAAGAAATCTACAGACAAATGATCTAACGATATTGGGAATAAAATATAGATTGCTTCTTTATACATAATTTCTTCACTGTTTTTGTGTCGACCCGTTAATAAAATGAGTCCATATATGTCAGAATACGACATGCACTAGACAGAGATGAGATTGGACTAGCAGGTTTGATGAAATGTAGTTTATCTCCTTATACTCCTAGTTCTATCGCATAATCTAGGAGATTATACCATAATTGGTCAGACTCGCCAATCAACATCTCAATTGTACACAGTACGATAAATTAAATTAGATTAAATTACATTAAATTACATTAAATTACATTAATTTAAATAAATAAAATAAAAATATTCACTGCCCTTAAAAACCTGTAATTAAATTAAACGTTCAAGACTATTAATTCCTTGCTGCACCATCTAGTCTGATAAAATGCAAACCATAATGACGGACACCAAACAATAAAAAGTGATTGATAGGAATACATGCTCACAGAATTGAAAAGAGTAACATTTTTGCGGTAATCTATGAAGTAGTTCTGCGCTTATTTGTTTAACGCAATATTCTATTTACGTGTTGAACATTTTTCAACAGTACTTTTGTTTCTTTTTCTTTATATATAATGTTCTTTGCAATATGCTTCTTTTATTAAACGATATGTCAGATTCTCATAATTATATTGTATTAGAAAAAGGAAAAAACAAAACAAAATGAAGGACAAATTATTAGCAACACCGAACGCTCGCTTTGTAACTTAGATTATAGAAAATTCGTATCGACTTTCGCAACTCAATGGTAAGTACTGAACTACGGTTGTAACCGAGTTCTTTCTTTGGTTTCTCTGCTGTTAAGTATGTTTAAACTCTAACTATTATTAGCTACCTCTATTAGCTGTTATGTCGAAACTTGACACCACGAGCTATTTCATGGTATTTACATGTGGCCTGAAAATAAGATTACGAGTCTCGCTCAGAATATTCGCATTTGATTTGAAATTGTGACCACGGATGAGAGTTGAAAAAGTATGGGCGAGGGGTTGAACTACGTACTTATCTTTATAAGTATTGAAATCATAAAGTGTAACTCTAGGGAGACCCAAGGTACACGTGTGTGTTTCGTCGACGACCGTGCGAGTGTTAATTATCACGTAATCGTGAGAAACGAAACGTTTAAACTGTACTATTATCTAGGCAAACGAGGAAAGAAACTACCACGTCTTTTACCAAATGTGTGCAGCCGCTGCGCGGTTTCCTCATTTACATTTGAGCCACCAGAATGATTTTCACTACCTGAAACAAGGAAATAATCCGGTGATAGACGGCGTCGAGGACTTGGCGTGTTTCGAGGAGACAATAAACGCGCTCACCATGCTCGGATTCACGTCCAAACAGCAAGACGATATGCTTCGTATTTTAGCGGCCATAATGCACATAGGGAATATTGATATACGGAGCGCCGAAACTCAGAATTCGAGCAACGAAAAGGACACCGAAGCCAGCTACATTCACGTAAATATAAGTTCTTTATTTCCGGTCAAAATTTGTTCCGATATTCGTCGTGAACATATTGCAATGCTATCTACTTAACACTTTAGCTACCACTCTATTTATTAGGGGGACTAGTAAGTAATGTCGTTTCTTTTATATTAAATTCAAATAAATAAATTTATAACATGTTTTTGTTTTTAATCAATTATGTAATCGCCCTCTTTATCGACAACCTTTTGCTATCTAGTGTGCAAATTTTCAATACCTGATCGATAAAAATCAATTGGTATACGATGAACTGATAAATGATAAACAAGTATCGACATTCGTAGAAAAGACATTACTTTCTGGTCCCCCTAATAGAAAAAGTTTACAACTTAGGGGATGACTTTCTACACTACTTATGTCAGCTTAGGCTGACATTTACTCGTGCATATTGCTACTAAGTATAATTAAAATTTTCAAAGTCTCTCCAAAGTGTCTCTAGATATACCAAAGAATCTTGTCTGCTTCCTTCAATTATATGTACAAATTATAGAACTCACACAAACTATACAAGTTATAAAAATTATGTTAGTTTCAGAAACTAAACAAGTGTAAACAGATTATACAAGTTATCGAAATTAAAGTTAAAATCTATACAAGTTCTACAAATTACACAGGTTTTACAAATTATACGTATTATGCAAATTACACAAAATGAACAAATGATACAAGTAATAGAAATTATACAATAACACCGTTCTGGATTCCTCTTATTATTAAGTTTAATCTAAATTTAACCGTTTGCGCTCGAGACATTTTTCTATAGAATCATGTCCAGTCCATTTTAATAATAAATTTCTGTAAAACCAAAACCTCTACTTCGAAAAGAAACATCTATGAACATTCGTGACTCAATGTATTATTATTTCAATTAATAATTAGCTGTGTTGTGAAACAAGTAAAATTGATATTGTACGTTGAAAAAATCACTTTCAAATTACACATTACAGTAAAATGTTAATTTTGACTTAATTTTGCAGCCATCGGACAAGCATTTGTTGATCATTTGCGAGTTGCTGGGCATCGACGTGAACGCGATGCAAAAATGGCTGTGCCATAGAAAAATCGTCTCGATGAGGGAGGTTTTTCTGAAACCGATGAATGTGGAGCAGGCGATCGGCGCCAGAGACGCGCTCGCGAAACACATTTACGCGGAGCTGTTCGCTTGGATCGTTACCGGTATAAATAATTCCTTGCAATCAAAGAATAAGCCTCAGTGCTTCATCGGTGTCCTCGACATTTACGGATTCGAGACGTTCGAGATCAATTCCTTCGAACAGTTCTGCATAAATTACGCGAACGAGAAGCTTCAGCAGCAGTTCAATCAACACGTTTTCAAGCTGGAGCAGGAGGAGTATCTTAAAGAGGAAATCGAGTGGACCTTCATCGACTTCTACGACAATCAACCCTGCATCGATCTGATCGAAACGAAGCTGGGTATATTGGACCTGTTGGACGAGGAGTGCAGAGTTAGTCAAGTTTTTCATTCGTTCCTGACGTACTATAGAAACGAACGTTTACTAAATCGTAGCTGAAAATTTTCCTCCTTCTCTCTAAGAAATATCGAATTCGTTTAATGTAATTAATTCATGGATCGAATCGTCTTTTCCGTATTTCAACAATGTAGGTTACAACTTTTTTAAATACACATCGATTGAAAATTGCCGATTTTATGAAGCTTTTTTGACCTTTTATAAATCTCTAAACTTTTGTTAAATTTCACAAGACAGAGCGATTATTAAGAAATGAATTTTGATCCCTTTTATTTGGTTTACCAAACCCGTTTTGATATTTTTATAAAATGATGATTATTTATAATATTATACACATTTTGATCACGATTTTGCGAAAATTTGCTTGTGCGCGTTTCATGAATTCAGAAACCTTTGTCCACATAATTACTAACCAGCTGTTTTAATAACAGATGCCGAAAGGCTCGGACAGTTCCTGGGCAGAGAAGCTGTACGCGAAATGTAAGAAATCGAAGCACTTCGAGAAGCCACGGTTCGGTACTTCCGCTTTCCTGATTCATCATTTCGCCGATCTAGTGCAGTACGAGACAATCGGATTCTTGGAGAAGAATAGGGACACTGTTATCGAAGAGCAGGTCGACGTACTGCGAAACGGAGATGTGTGTAAAAACGTATTTTCGTTTATCGACACAATGTTCATCCTGGTTATTGTATAAAACTAAGTTAATCGATATTAATCCGAACAAGCAAAATGCAACCTCCGATCCTGTATTCAGTATCCTTCTACGCTATATTTATTATTTCACTAATCGGAAATTTGAGAACATTTCTTTTTATACAAACGAAACAAATTTTTAGATGGTTCGTAAGTAGTGACCCATTTTTCACATTTAATATTGCAAACAGAAACAAAATTTTCGCTGTACAAGACAATGTCTTTAGTTTTCACAGCAGATTTAATTCTAATCGATTCTCAGACATTTAAAATGGATAATCAAGGTGACAAGAATGATCGTCTTCGAAAATGTTTATTTAAATCATCTTGAGATTCCGTTTTAAATATTTGAAAATCAGCTAAAATTGAATATATTATTAAAACTGAAGACACGTTCTTGTAAAGTAAATAGTTACTTATCATAAAACATATTCGACTTCAATGCAAGTCTTTATTTATAGAAGAGCATTCCAGAAGAATGAACGTAAAATACCAAGTAAACAAGTAGAAACAAAAACAATTAAGAATATGTTATTAAATAAGTATTAAGCGAAACCTGTCGTACATAATTTTTAAAGACATCATCGAATTCATATTTAATACGTAATTCATAAGATACTATTATTTATATATTCTAATTAACGTTTATAAGGTTAATTTAGTCGGACGAAAATTTGACGTCGTTTATCTTTTCAGAATAAACTATTGAAGAAGCTATTCAGCGAAGAGGATCCGAAGCTTGCGGTCCCGTCGAACGTGAGGGTAAAAATCTCTGCTCAGAAACCAACATTGACCACGCCCAAGCAAAATAAGAAAACGGTAACTCTAATGGATAAGAGAATGTCACTGTTATTCATTTTATGCAAAGCGAACTTCGAGGAGGCTCAACTTATTGTTTCTGAACGAAATCTGTAGGTAGGATCGCAATTCCGAGATTCATTGAATATGCTGATGTCAACGTTAAACGCGACCACTCCGCATTACGTGCGCTGCATTAAACCGAACGATACAAAGGAAGCTTTCGAGTACAACCCCGTTCGTGCTGTGCAACAATTACGGGCTTGCGGTGTACTGGAAACCATCAGAATATCCGCGGCCGGATTCCCCAGTCAGAGAACGTACAGCGAATTCTTTCTTCGGTACAGATGCCTGTGCAGATTCAAGGATATACGACGCGACGATCTCAAAGAGACCTGCAAACGCATACTGGCAAGGTCGGTGATCTTTTTTTTCCATAACCGTTTTAACCTCTTGTGCTGGTAACTGTTTAGCGATGCGCGTGGACCAATCCATCATCACGCTGTGACTATGTGGGCGTTCTAGGCATAATTCAAAATTTCCAAATTAAACAACTTTTAACCTAAGAATCTTCAACTCGCTAAAAAATGAAGGAAGTTAAATGGGAAGTATCACATCATACTTCTTCGGTTCATAGATCTGTCTCCTTGTGGATACTTTAAATATACAGTGAGGCATTTAAAACAGGCCAGCTAAGAGTTGTTTGATTCCGAGTACCTGTATACATACGTACGTATAGGTAAATCATTTTGTACTCGAATAATTAACTTTCTACTATACATTTTAACAACTGAGAACCGTTAAACATACAATTTTAAGACATTCGGCCAGTTTGTTCAAAAACTTATAGGAACTTTTACCAACGGTAATGCAATTGAAAAAGAAGACATGAATCACCCCACGCCAATGCGTTACAGAGTAAGATCAGAGTCAGTCAAAGCGTACAATAGAGCGCAGTTAGTCAGACTGTGCGATGATCAACAAGCGCTACTTGTTGTTGATTAACAAGCGTAGGTTCCTAAGAACCTGCAAGCTACTATACCAAACTTCATCATTTATTCTAATTAAACTGTATACCTTTGAATTCTTAAACCCTTGCATTTCAGCGCTCTACATTCACCTCAAAGCCTACGATAAATTGAGATTTAAATGCTTCAGGTATATCAAGGACGAAGACAAATTCAAATTCGGCAAGACAAAGGTCCTCTTTCGGGCCGGTCAAGTGGCTTACTTGGAGAAGCTTCGGGCGGAAAGACAGCGCGATGCTTGCATCATGATACAGAAGACAGTACGCGGTCTGATATACCGTAACAGATACAGAAAGATTCGACGAGCTGTGTACGGTCTTCAGAGGTACGGGAGAGGTTATATCGCCAGGCAGAAAGCTCGAGCCGTGAGGGAAGAAAGAGCCGCGATAAAGATACAAGCGCGCGTTAAAGGATGGTTGAACAGGCGTCGATTCTTACAATTAAAACGCACAATAATTGGCATCCAGACGTATGGTAGGGGCAAAATGGCGCGGAAGAGATACGAGTTGATGAAGGACAACGCTGCCGCGACTGTAATTCAGAGATTCGCTCGCGGATACCTAGTGCGAATGGCTTGCAGACAAAAATTGAAAGACATCGTCATCGTCCAGGCGGCTGTCAGAAGGTATCTGGCGAAGAAAATGTTCCGAAGATTGAAGGCTGAAGCGAGAAGCGTGGAGCACGTCAAGTCCTTGAACAAAGGATTAGAGAAGAAGATCATCACGCTGCAGCAAAAGATCACCGAACTCGTGCGTTTCGATTTCTCGTTGCTGTTTAACTCGAGTCTTTATCAGGTCGAACATGGGAACATCGTAACTTTTTGTCATTTTTGTTTAGGCGAAAGAAAATCAAGGATTAAAGAACGTTCAGAACGAAATGGTGGACTTAAAGCACAAGCTAGAAGCACTGAAGATGGTAGAAGCCGAGAATAAAAAGTTGCACACTGCATTGCTGGAGAAGGAGAAAGTGTTGGAAAAGATGGAAGAAGCGGTGAAGATCGAAAGGGACGAAAAAATGGACATCTTACAAGTACGTAAATATGAAGTAAAATTTAAAAGAATTGAAAAATTTGAAAGAATTCCTAGGCTTATATCAAAGTTAAGAAGTTACTGTTCTTATTTTGATCAGTTTAAAAAGTATTCTCATTATTTTTTGCAGTCTAACTACTTGACATAAACTTTTGAAATTTTGCACATTTATTTATACATACATATCTTTTATTAGAATCTACACAAGATTCTATTAAATTTACAACTGCCCTACTTAATTTGTTGAGTAAGAAGAATATCAGTAAAAAAATCTATATCTGACAGAGAAAAAAAGTGCACCCTCTTAATGATAGAATGCTATGTAATATAACCTATCATATATATAATACAATGATATATAATATTTTAAATATGAAAGTATTTATTATTTTCTATAAAAGTGCCATGAACAAAAAGACTTTTTCTCAGATAATTCACAAATTTAGTATATCAAAATTCTTCTTTTAATAACGATTTATATTTGATTGATTTAAAATAGTATTACAAAAATATTTTAAGTAGAGAAAATAGCATCATATTTATTGGACTGATATATAAGGAATTAATTAGGATAAAAATTGATATTTTTAAGGCTTGTTTGTATTACTATAAGTAATAATTCGGACAAATTTCAAATCATTTCATCAATTTTAACCGGAATTAGAGTTGAAAATTTTATGTATCCACTTAAAATTTTCGAAGGTTTGGGGCACGTTTTAATCTTATAATTACGAGCTCAAATTTTACAGAAATTATTTTTTATGTATTTGCAATGTATTTAGAGGGTGCTTGAAATAGATTTCAAATCGTTAAAATAAGGACCACCGTAATATACATATCGTTTCATCATATTTGCATTTATTCCCTTAGATTACAATTATTGTGATAAGCAAGGTCGATAACATTCATATTTGTCGTCAACAGATAAACATACTTAATATATTTATGAATATAAAAGTATATATGTCGAATTGCGTTAATTTCAATGTACTTCTGTTAGGACAAGGAGAGAAGCACTCTGAAGAAGCAGAACGAGAACGAGAAGCTTCAAGAGCAGATTGAAAAGCTGCGGAAAGAGCTTTCGGTGGCTAACGAAAAACTAAAGAATAATCAACGAGGTGCTGAGGAGAACTTGAAGCACCGATTGGAACAAGAAAAGGATCTACTCCTGCTGGATCAGGATCAAGATCGTGGCGCTTATCAGAGACTGCTGAAAGAATATCACGAACTGGAGCAACATGCAGAAATGTTGGAACAGCAGCTCGCGTTGCGCGCCCCAGCGCATTCTCGTTCTCTCAGCAACGCTTCCAGTGGCAGCGGGCAAATTCTGTCTACGGAACTTCCGTCAGATGATCTGAATATCGTAAGAACCTGTCTTTTATATTTTTTAAAAATTTTTATACAGGATGACTTGTGCGAAATCTTGGAGACTATTTCTTCGAGATGTGCCAACAATAGCGAAAGGATTTTGTTTTCACCGTTAGGACATAGAGCGGCAGTTCTTACACTTTTTAAAATAAAGTCACTGTTTGGAACATTCTTAATATTTTGGAACTGTTAGCATCGGTTAGAAAGAAAATCTGACGCAAGTCTTAGTTACAAATAATTGCGGTAACCTAACAATAAGAGTTCAAACAGTGGTTTGATGAAAAATAATTGGCGTGAGTGTTCAGGCATTTCACTAAAAAATTCAACCATGTAAATATTTACACATTCGTAACATTTAAAAATAGTAAAAACTAAATATTTATACAGCAATGATCATAGAAATTGCACCAGCATAAAAGTATATTTTTATTAATATTTTTCCTTCAATTCTCGCATGACCAGTAACTGAAAGTGTCATTAGCATAGATTTGATTTATATTACAAAAATTATAGTTTATTATATAAGATACGTGGTGCAAAATCAGTACTCGCTACTGTAGGTTGTATATCTACATACTATCTAACTATCATCTACATTCAATTAGTTCATATCACTGCGCCTAAATTTTTCTTGCAAAATTATGTTTTGGTACTCATTTAACTGAAAATCTGTATACAAATTTTAAAAACGAAAGAACTCAAAGACAGGTACCTTCGCCGTTCTTAAAGGTCCCTCTGCATTCTAATGGTGAAAAAACACATTTTATCTATTTCTAATATTTCTCACAATAATGATATGTCACACTTCACATAGACCTGTATATTCAGATTTACTACTTCACCGTTGATACTAACTAATATGGCGTCTCGACGGTTTCAACGGCATTGCAGCTATAATATCTTCTTTAAGTGTCATCGTGTCATCCAAAACCATTTAACTTTCACTTATAATATATTTTTCCACTCTCAACCGTTTAGGAGGTACAGCCTGTTTTAGTTGCGTGGGACACCCTGTATATTTTGATTCCTGAAGAAGCTAGCTGCAATGCTGGCAAAACAGTATCTTATCCAAAGGGCACGGGTTATATTCTCAAACCTCAGTTAATGCCAACCATGAAGAAGTATCCTGCGAAGGTTTGAATATCTTAGATTTACTTCTTGCTTACAATTTACGTAATTTTAAAGGATCTGGGTTACGGATCGGTACGATCAACTGCTCCCTCTTCGACTAATTATTCACGAGTGGAAACGATCGACTGGAGTCAACAGCGATCGGACAGTCCGTTCGATGGAGAGGTCCAATCGCATAAATCGCCTCCCGAGTCGAATGGACCAGCACACGCGCCTGTGGATGTCGGTTTAGTCCTGAAACTTCAACAGAAATTAAAGGACGTTGAGAAAGAAAAGGGGAGATTGATAAGGATGGTAGAAGATTTGGAGCGTGACAATCCTGAAGAGACTTCAAGGACGCAGGACACGTTCAGAGTAATTATCTGCATTAGAACAAGTTTGTTTAGTCGTGGCGATAATTCGTTCGAGCGGCTTCTAACGACAAAATATTGTGTTTACAGCTTCAAGAACTCGAAATGGAGAATGCTCAATTGAAGAAAGATTTGGGTACGCTAAGAAAAAGCGTGTCCTCGGCAGGTCTGACAGGTGCACAGCAGAATCTTATGGGTAATATATTTCTATTCCTGATGGAGGAATGTATTCGTTATTTCTTTAATCGAATACTGTAACTTTGCTTATCTCTCTTTGTTTGCTTCTGTTTAATTCGCTTATTAAAATGTGCATTAACGTATGCTAATGTCTTTTCTATTTGTTTACTGTACGCTCGTGAACCGAAGCGACTTCCTTTTTATAACACGAACAAATACACTGTACATATGTACATAATTTGGAGACTTTTGCTTTCTCACTCTTTGCCCTCCATCCGCGTCAGTTACGCATTACATTGATAAAGAACATTTTCTCGCTTTATACACAGGGTGTTTCGTGATTTGCGGTACTATCGAAAAGGGTTTAATTTTCCACTTACAAGTAAGTCGAAAATATGGAATTAAAATTTGTACGTGGCTCTGTATTGTACGGGGCACCCTGTGTACATAGAATACTTTTAAATTACGCATCAATTCATATTAAAATATGAATAAAGTTTGGCTTGGTTTCCTTATCAACAAAATATTGACTTTCGACGTTCTGACATGTATTTTCCCTTTTACCTTGCATATTCATGTATTAAGAAAGGCACTCAACAAATTTTATAGTAATCATTTATTAACAATAAGAATTCTATATTTTTTGTCTTTTTTCTTCGTATACTAAAAGGTTACATGAAATGTTTGGCTAATGTATGATGACTCACTTCAAGAATGCATAAAAATGATCATGGTAAAATGTGTGCTAATTCTTCAAAAATTATTTTTTCCATAAGTTTGGCCAAAAAGAATTATTCTTATAAAAAGTCTATGGTACTTGCTGCCTTGATAACACATCAAGTATGATCACAATTTTTGCTAAAATAACACATAAAAGGTCAGAAGAAGTAAAATTATTTTATTCATATTATTTAAAGCATACCAAGATATAAATCATACATGTAGTACAAATTATACAAATCAATTTATAAAAATTATACAAATCAATTATACAATTATACAAAGATTTTTCAGTTTTCTGTGCTCTATCGTGATACTGAAACAAACATTTTTTTCGACTCGCCATTTATAAACAAAGTAATTTTCTCCTCTCTTCGCTTATCTTTCATATGCATCGCTTTCTATAAGTGTCGACACCACTCTAAATATATTTTACAAATTTTCTTTCTACATAACACCGACTCATATTTTTTTATACATACTTCAGGATATATATCCCACATTTTTTCGTGCCATTTGAATGGAAAACTTCAAAGAAGTATGCATTTTTGACAAATTTTCCCTTGCGTGAATTTATCTTAATCGCCCACAAAGTTTGACAGAGTTACGACATACCCTTAGAGGGAACATCCGAGTACAAAGGATTAATTTTGATATTTTATTAAATCACGCGATCATCTTCCGAAACGCGACACCGACAAGGCAGAGGAGTGCGATACATAATTTTAATTATAGGGCAATTCGACGCGCTTCAGGAAGAGCTCGAAAGAAGAAGAGAGGAATGCATTCAGCTGCACAGCGTATTAGCAGACAATACGCGAAGAATGAAGAGTTTAGGCTCGAATTACGGCCGGGACGTGGATATCATAAACGAAGATGGAGAGCTAGTGCTCGCGTTCGAGACACAGAAGAAAATCAACAGGTAAATCGAGATCACTCGGGGTATACGAAATGTTTTTCTTTCTAAGAAGGAGAGCACCGTGTCTAATCGTCGTTTTGTCGTTTGTGCATGCACTTCAATTTTCAGTAAACTTAAGACAAAGGCCTCAAGAGAGTGAGTTGAGAAGATATTTTGCCCCGCGAATAGTCAGCGGTCTCGTTTAGTCATCTTGATACTGTTCAATCGGGAAAAATCACTGTACATGCTGAACTTATTTAATAATTAACATACTAGGGGCTGAGATTATTGGTGTCGGTCGAAAGGGCTTCAACACTCTTTATTTAAATTATGAATTTATCTCCTATTTCATAAAAGTCTTTCAGCAGATTTGTCTTTCTTCCTTATTGGTGTATAAGAAAAACAAGAGATGCACAGAAATCTCGTATTGCGAATATCTCTTTATTACGCAACGCATGATGGCCAAAATCTCTGAGAACATGGATTAAATTAATAGCGTTCCTTTTTATCTATTATTTATTATAGTCAGAACGGTTTTCGTGACTTTTGGAGTTGTAGAATTTGATTTTGATATTAATGTTTTCTTAGGGAAAGAACATTCTCTGTATGCCAATGGAATTTATGTTAAACATAAAAATGTTCGCTATTGCTTTCAAGGTGCGTGTAATATTTCGGTGAATACTAAGTAGTATAATTAAATGTTTATCCCTCAATGCGATGAACAATACATTGGATCAAAGCAAATGCTATTTCATGGACCAGAAAATATCGTTGTAAGGCAACTCGATCAATGCCCAAAGTTCGTTTCCTACGAGATAGTCAATCCTCTTTCTTTAAAGTATGGAATCAGAGATTAAATTTTACAAACGTATTTCAAAATCATATGAAGCAATAAAACCCTGAATTAATACTACCACAGTGCTTAGTTCCGCGAATTAATACATGAATGACTGAATATATTTAGAAACAATTGATATTTCCATACAAGTATACTTTATTTGAAATACTTATTTATTTACAACTAAATCTTGAACATAATGCTCTAAATACAATTTAATTATATTTACAATTTAGCTAATCTGTGATCATTTTAAGCTTATACAAGCTTTCCACTGTGTGTAGCATTATAATAGATTTTGAAGTAGGTACTGACTTTATACAAGTATATTGTTATAAATTCCAACGATGCAAGTGGGCTGCAAAATAAACTTTTTTACCCATCTTAAGAAATATCTAGAAAATCCATTTACGTACCCTTTTTTTTGTAGCTCTAGGTAAAGAGAGAAACGACAAAATATAAGATTACATTAGCTGAAAGAACACCTCTTAATACTTAGGAAATAGATTTAAGTAAATGTCTATCCATAAAAAAATATAATCAAATAAAGAACGTAAATTTCAGGAAAAAACATGATCGTTTGGAAACTGGACTTTTTTTTCTATATTCAAACATTCTAAGAAAAATTTCAGGTGTTTTTTGAAAATCAGTTCGCATGAAAATAGTTAATCTATAAGAATCTGTGATTAAAATTTCAAATTTGTCTTTAGTTCACGTTTTCGAAGATTTTGATCATTGGTTCCCTTTACGAGATCTTTTTCTGGCCATGACGAATAAATGTTCGCTAAAATACAGACAAAAATAATTATAAAATAACCAACTCAATATCAGAAGCTGATAAAGAATATAGAGAAAAGACGACCAGGACTGAATGTAAAAATTATATGGAAGTGTGAATATAAATGATATACAGAGAAAATATAAAGAGAGATAATATGTAAACATTAACAAGAACTTAGTTAAAGGAACCATTTAGAGTTCATAAAAGATACAAAATATTTTGCATGCACGTTAAATGGTTTCTTCAAATAAATTTTTTCCAATCTTTGTATACTAATCTCAGTTTATACTCTCTGTACTGTTTATATTCACACTTTTTATAATTTGTGCGCTTACTTTTGGTCACACTTTCCTATTTTAGTCGACATTTATTTGTCAATAGCTAAAGGAGAACCCACATAAGGGTCTAAAATGTCATGCAATAGATTTCATTGATCGATATGAATCTGTGAACTTCTTGTTGCTGAATTTTAATAAACGCTAACTCAAAAGCATGATTTTCTCAAAGTGCGTTGTACTTGACATATACCGATATCATTCTCAGCCCCTCACATATTAATCTGACATATTTGATATATACAAAATATGCCAAAGGAACATTGAATAAATGTTTGAAAGTACTTTAAATTCTCACGATTCTTTCGATTGAACAACTATTAAATTAGTTGACAAATTAGCAACACGTTAAACGATCATTTTTCGCTCTCTCTTTCAAAGACAATTAGAAGACGAGATCCAGATGAAGGAGAAAGGATGGCGGGAGCAGAGAAACGAATGGCGGGCGGAAATCGACAGGTTACAAGAGGAAATTGAGAAGCAACAGAAATTGCTCTCCGTGAATTTAAGCAAATCGCCGCAGACTCAAACCGAGGCCTATATGCAGTACGAAATTGCCCGACTGACGTCTGAAAATTTGGTAAAAATCCCACAAATCCTACATTTATTTTTCGTTCAATTAGAACAATACTTGTAATTATTTAATACGATTTCGGCAACACAGCCTAGGAAAGTTTGAATAAAAAATATATTTTCCATACAACTTTCGACTGCTCCTACAGTCATTTTCAGGACTTCTTTTATGTGTTCTAAGACTTACCGAAATTATATTGAGTAATTTATCAAAAGGGAGTCACACGAACAATGTAGTTTTGACAATCATTTTGACGATTTATTATTTACGTCACTTTGGCCATTCATTTGTGGCTACATTAAGTATAAGGAAATAGAGAAATATAGAAAATACAATATAAAAATATACGGAGATACAAGAACTAAAAGACTAATCCATGGTTATTTTTAATATGTGAATATTTGCATCTCATGAGCTTAAATAGATTTTCGTTTTATCAAAGAGAATACCAACGGTCTGGTTATTTTTAAAGACTAATAATTGTTAAAAATTAATGAACTAAAACAAGGTCCTAGTATATTATTAAATATGTATATAAACAATTACAATATAAATACGCAGAAATTCTTTAAATAAGTTTGGAGTACAATGATAACACTTTCACATTAAAAATAAGCATTGCCTCAGTTTTCTTCTTTCTTTGTGTTTATATATTTTTTATATAACCGGAAAGGATTCCACACGAGTAGTCAAAGCCTTAACTAGAAAATTAAAAAACATTGCAATCATTTACCAAAGAATAAAACAACAAATTCCATAATAATCTAATTTCAAGAGCAAAATAAATAATAAACATTCATTAAATTGCAGGAACTACAAGAGAAGTACGACAAAATAGCGGAAGAATGCAGAAAATTCAAGAGACAATGTAAAATACTCGCGAAACGTCTCCGTGATGCAGGCTGTGAGTATAAGTTGTTAAATATAAATATTAAAGATAGAATAAGTATTCAATGTTCTGTAGAGAATATTTATGAAAGAATTATGGTATAGCAAACAGTGAAGTTTGGGAATTGGTATTAAAATTGTATAATATTTCAATGCTTTCGAAGATGAGGGAGAGGATAAGGAACATAAGGATCAGCCTTATATTTCGAAGGGCGCCGGTGAGTGCGTGGTCCAGTGTTTCATTTTCATCGTACTTTACGCAGACCATAACTCACCCTAGCTCATAAATTAGCAATCATGTAATTCACGACGGAGTTCGAAAATGTAGGATGCTCCTAATTAAAACGATTAAAGTATGACAGTCTATACTATAACTAAGCAAGATGGAAATATTACATAAACATGCGTATATCCGAATCTATTAAAACAATTTTAAATAATTAACTTCATTAATTTAACCTGCATATGCACTCTTCTTTTAATGTATATATCATTCTCTGTTACTTTTCAATTGGTTAAGTTTGTTGTTGATGTTAAATCATTTAATTTAGTATAAATGTAAATACTCTAAATTAACGATAGGACTGTCGCTATCGATAATAATTTCTTTCGTTGTAATAATAGTGACAATAATAGTAATAGTAATAATAAACATATGTGCTTTCGCTTTTAGAAGGAGACTAGACTATTTCCGTTCACATTATAAAAATGTAGGATATCCATTCTTCGGATAGAACATAAAAATATTTTTAACTATTCCAATATTATATTTCATTATTCCAATTTTTACAAGAAACATGTATGATCTTCGCTTCTTGTTAGACAGGTAGAGAGTATATTATTTCTTCAATTATTTAAATAATGAATTACATAAACCATTAGCGACAGTGGTTATGAATTAATTATCATCAAAGATGAGTGGATTGAGGAGGAATCGATAAGATGTTTGCGTTATTATTCTTAGAAGAAAATCCAATTGTTTGGTGTCAAACTAGCACTGTCAATGGTAATAGATCGAAATGAAATAAAAAATTATTTCTAAACGTGTATTTTTATCATAACTATTGGATAAAGTTCCTTCCTGTTTACACAATATTTTCATCTTCTACTTATTCGTGGAACATATTGGCGTAGTTTAATGGTTAAATTGGGAATATCCTACATATCCAATGATAAAACACGACTCGAACGTTTTCTATTTTCAATTGTAGTGCTGGATAATGCAGAACCAACGAGCGATCCCGCGATATCTTCCACTAATAATTCAGCGGACAATGGAAGTAACATGCCCGTCGTTCGAAAGAAGGAAAGGGATTACGAAGGCATGATCGAGTGTCGAAAAGAGGATATCAATATAATCATACGTCACCTAGTTATTGGTAAATTCAGACTAACGTTCGATATTAAATTTATAGTTAGTCACCGAAGTCTATGTACGCTGTTTAAAATACAATATTATAGAGAATACACAAATTTTTATAATGCTACAGTGTTGTAAGTCATAGGGATGCAATAACAATACCATTGGTTATTCGAGAAAGAAAACCAATTATTTTCTCGGAAATAAGCAAAAGGTAATATTTATTTAGAAAGAGACTTTTGTCTCGGTTGAATAAAGCGATACTGCATATCTCAAAATGCGTATCGCCGTTGACGCAAAACGGATTTATTCGAGATCTAATCGAGATTTGAGAATCAGGGCTATCTATCGAGATTTGAGAATCAGGTCACCTTTACCGCACCGGCAATCATTTTATTGACATTTCAAGTTCCAAAGAAATTAAACCTAAAGAAACATTATTGCTGATAGATTTGCTGCGTGAAACCTAATCACGCCTCTCAAGTCACCTCTCGAGTGCAAAGGGTTAATATATTGGGCTGTCTGGAAAGTCGATGCCGATTTGTAGTAGGCGATACAGATCTGAATATATCGGAATGGCTGAAAACAAATAAAATGTGTACACTTCTTAAGAGGTGGAAAGGTTGTGGAACAAAATGGTACATATATAATTCAATAAATATACATAAAAATTCAAATATGCCTTTGAATTTTTCTTAAAAATAGGTTCGCAACAAATTGTCTTTCCGGACAATCTAATATTACGAGGGTGTACATAGACTCTTGTGACCGACTTTACACATTTTCAACTTAATTTAAGCTAAAACAATTTCTTGCAGACTTAAAACCGAGGGTTGCGGTGACGTTGCTTCCTGGTTTGCCAGCGTACATCCTCTTCATGTGCATCAGGCACACGGATTGCATAAACGACGATAAAAAAGTTCGAACGATATTAACGGCTTACCTGAACGCCGTGAAACGCGTGGTGAAAAAGCGCGAGGATTTTGATTCCAGCGTGCTCTGGCTCAGTAACACGCTGAGGTTATTGCACAACATGAAACAATACTCCGGAGACAAGCCGTTCCAGATCGAAAATACACCGCGGCAGAACGAACAATGTCTGAGGAACTTCGATTTAAGCGAATATCGAGTCGTGTTGAGTAACGTGGCGTTATGGATCTTCAATAACATAGTGACGAACCTTAAGGAGAGGATTCAGGCTCTGACGGTGCCTGCTCTTCTCGAACACGAAGCCATAACGGGCTTGAATTCTAATAAACCAGGACGACCTCGGTCCTCATCCATGGGAGAGGAGCCAGAGTCGACCCAACAAAAGCTAGACAAACTTCTGGACGAGCTTTCATCTGTATACAAAACTCTGCAGTACCATGGCGTCGATCCCGAGATCGTCGTGCAGCTTTTCAAACAACTATTCTATTTCATGTGCGCCAGCGCATTGAATAACCTCCTTCTGAGGAACGAGCTTTGCCACTGGACCAAAGGCATGCAGATTAGGTATAATTTAAGCCATCTGGAGCAATGGGGAAGAGATCGCCGATTGGAACCAGCCTCGGAAGCACTCCAACCGATTATCCAGGCTGCGCAGCTTCTACAAGCCCGTAAAACTGACGAGGATGTAAACTCTGTGTGCGAAATGTGCAACAAATTGACCGCAAATCAAATAATCAAAATTCTGAATTTATACACGCCTGCTGATGACTTTGAAACGCGTGTGCCCGTTTCGTTTATCAAGAAGGTGCAAGCTAAGCTGAGCGAGCGGGGCGAGAACAACGAACAAGTAAGTCTGAATAAGATATTTGAAGCTTTTACGAATCAATTCTTCGTGACACTAACTAAGGATTCCGGGTGTAAACCGTGTCCTTTGGATAAAGTACTCCAACGTTTTACTAGCATTGCAAGTTCTTCAAGCTTCTTCAGGGATCAATAATATACTGATATTGTGTCCGCTATACCGATATACCAATATCAGCGTGCCATTTTATCGATTCCTGAAGAAGCTACGTAGCTGAAATAATTAGGAAACGTTGAAGTATTTTATCCAAAAAACGCAGTTTACACATGTAAGCCACAGTTAGTATCAATGAAACTAAACAAGTCAACAGAATTAGGAATAAAGACACTCCATATTGGTCTTAACATCTTTGGAGACAAATTGTTCTAATAATAAAAATAATAGAAAATGATTTTTTTACTTCAAATATAAGTTTATACGAAACGTTTCGTCTAAAGTGGAATGTCTACCAAAAAAGTGGTTTTATAAAAGTTATTTGGTACAAAGGGAGACATTATATGGAGTAAATAATTTTGCTGTGAGTGAAGTGGTAGGAGAGATTTAAAAAACAAGTTAATTGTTTAAAATGAAATCTTACATATTATTATCCATAAAACGATACCAATTGTTTAGACAAATCGACCTATCATACGAGTTCATTTACAATAAAATTATTTACTGCATATAATGTCACAGTTTATATCAAATACAACTTTTGTAAACATACATTGCCAAAGGGTTAAATTGTTCTTGAAAGGAGCTCTCAACATCAACTGAAACGTAGAAGTAAACTACTAAATCATCTCACCACTTTTGATCTTAAAATTAATAAGAACTGTCTTTATTTCTAATCAAGCTAATTCGTATATATATTTTTATCATCTAATGTAATACGTGAATGAAAACTGAATGGAGAATATTTCTTTTTAGTTGCTGATGGATCTGAAGTATTCGTATCCAGTAAGATTCTCGTTCAATCCATCCGACATACGATTGGAAGATATCGAAATACCAGAAGTACTTCATTTGCCCATGCTCAAGAAGGTGTAATCTTAGTAATTGAGAAATTTAGAGGCCCCGCTGCGCATGTAACTTTTAGTTGAGTAACCGTCTAACGAGTAATAAAATTCGCATAGCCTATTTATTAATGAACAACGAGGGAAGTCAAAGAATTAACGACGTTAATTATTTTGAACGAGTTAGATAACGCATCGAGCGGGTCATCGATATATGTATCATGTTTTATATGTTTTTTTTTTACTCGAGTAATTTGTATTTTACGATGCATAATTCCTATTCGTATCGGCATGAAACAATGTCTATTTAAAGCATACGTTCCATGAGTGATAAAAGAAAAAAACGTATTTTTCGTTGTTCTAAACGTATGATATACGTCGAGACTCGAGGACGATGTCAATGTGTATAAGGCTCTGCTGGAGCTTGCAATTCATACATCCGAATTGGATTAGAATTATTACAAATAATGGGTGGTGAAATAGAAAGGCGTAAGTATGCGCGATGAAATGAAGTGCCGAATTCTCTATTGAAAAATATAGAAGCGTTGTTATCGAGATTAAAAGAGGTTTAAAGCAATGCGTTGTTTTCTCGACGTTGTTAGTCTATCAAAAATTGTTATGAAAAATATTGCAACTCCAAGCAGTAACTTCATGCGTGCAATATTGGTAATCCATTGGGGGATGTGTACTTAATATGTAAAAAGGAAATGTGAGGACGAGATATAATGTTACGTTGGGATAGATTGTATATTTTGTGATACGAGAAAGATTAATTACGAAATCGATTCTCAGAGGCCGGGGACAGAAGATACGCGAGAAATGAGCAGGAGAGAGTAAGACAGAGGTATATATTGTTGTTATAATATAATTTATAAATATGTACAAGCGATTGTATTTTGTGCCATTTTATTAGTAGAACGTAATCAAATTCTGTTTCCTAAGTTGACCTGAATTTACGTTTACGCTTTACGAATACATTCTACAATACTAACCTTTTCTAAACGAAAACCCTTTACCCTGGATTGTATATACAGAGAGAAGAATCTGTTAACACGATTATACCTTGACTCGATGTGACAAATTTATTTGTTCCTACAATGAAAATAAAGAAATCGTTGATGGAAAAACGTACCTTGTTCAATTTACATGTAACTTTATATGTATGGATTTGGTTCGTCATGTCATGAAATACTAATAGAGAAAAGTTTTTGAAAACAAAACGTCACGTTGATCAAAATAGGAGTGAATTTTTAACGAAACTAATGATGCTTCAGCTTTTTAGGACCTCAACAGTTCTTTAATTGTTGATTTTTTAATTTATTTACTATTAAGTAAAGAAAAAAAAATGTTTCTGTTCTTACAAAATGGCGTAGTTCATGTAAATAACCTCTTAATCTATTCCGAATTTGTTTTCGCAAGCTATTTTATTAATAAAGTTTTCCCATATAAAAGTGTGTATATACTATATTTTTTTATATGAAGGTTCTCAAAACTGAGTCGCACATGTTTCCTTATAATTAAATATCCAACACAGTCACAAACCCGTAGTGGTAAAAATCCAATGACGAGATAAAGAGAATGATAAAAATGTTTTATATTTGTCTTTCATAAAATATTTTAGAAAAAAATACCTCTGATAAATCTAGATCCTTCGGTGAGTAAAAGTGAAACGAATTTATTCATATTTTATTACAATAGTATTATATAAATTATCATTGTGGAGTGTTTCGACGTCAGAAATTGTATCAAAGTTAATGAAATTTAATGTACCTTTTAATTAGAAATACGATTGAAAGCTCAAAGCAAACGAAGTGACACGTATAATTAAGTGTAATTAATTCTCTTCGTACAATAATTCATAGTTGTAGCAAGAAATATGTAATTTTTTTAGGCTGCATCGCTCATTGAACGTATATCATCAATTTTAAGTATCATTTTCACCAACTGAGTGGCCAACACAATTTGTTGAGTTTTACTGTTCAAACTCTCGATAACGTGTTGTTCTTTCATATCTGTAATGTTTATAAATTATTTATTACCGTTAGGCGAAACTAATAACAACAATAATAGTATGATCGATACGTACCGGAAGTGCCGCGATTCAAACAATCGACGCCAAGAGCACTGTTCTTCTCAGCTAGTTGACGTGCTTTAAGTTCAGTCATCGTATCGACAGGGGAAAGGCCAGCATTTTCAGCAAGTGCCATTGGTATAGCATCTAAAGCTTCCGCGAACGCACGGAAGGCATACTGTTCCAAAGATGAGATACGATTGCATTTTTCTTCGCATGCAAGGGAGCAGGAAATTTCGGCCGCGCCTCCGCCGTATACAATTTTTCGACATTTGAACACATTGCGAACCGTACAAAGTGCATCATGAATGGCTCGTTTTGCTTCTTCGATAATCTTGAAATAAAGATACAGATATCTTAATAACTTATACGTCTACCGATAAAACATAATTTGTAATGTATAGAGTTGTAGCACTAGCAATAATTTGTCTTCAATTTCATTTATAGAAATTGAAAAACAAATTGAATATTGCGATGCGTTGCTTTTGCAAGGTGTCTGGACAGTTAGGTACATGTGTATACCGCTGAAATTCTCCTTGCTTATGGTTTGCTTTACAGAGAAAATAATTTAAATTACCATCTTATTACCGCCGCGAATGAAAATAGTTACTGCTCGTGAATTCTTGCACTTTTGGATAGAGAGCATTCTATCCTTAGTAGTACCAAATTTCAGTTCCTTGACGACGCCTGCGTAGCCAAGTTTCTCCGGTGTCAATTCCTCGAAGCGTGGAACGATACGACCACCCGTTGCAATAGCAATTAGCTGAAAAAATTCGTCGCTATTTTACCGCGTCTAATATTTATTTTTACGTATTTAAAAAAATGTGAAACAAAGCCCTCAGATCTCATAATCATTGGTCATAGGAGCCACTGTAAAAGACAGATTGTCAACTAACATATTTAAAGAAACTTGATTTTCGTTCTTGCAGAAGAAAACAAATGCGAAGAAAGAATTGAGATTTCTAAAATTATATTATTCGGTATATCTAGACTTCTACCCTCCTCCATTGCGCTTTGTCATCATCGGGCAAAGAAAATTGTAGTTACAGTGAACGCAAATACAACTTACTTCAATTTCCGGACCGCCAACCCATCTGACAGCAGGCAACTCATTCTGCAGGAGAAGGTAATTGGCCTCGTCGTCGAATCCCCACTGACAAATAGCAAGTGTCGCACCTGCATCTTTGACCATTTTCACCATTTCCGTGAATTTCTCCCGCTCATATTCACGTAAAGCTTTATAGTCTTCAACGGAAGTAACATCTAGCTTGTGTTTTGTTTTTGGTTTGGGCGGTTCAAATGGACATGTCAAAATGGCTAGCTTGACATCTTTCAATTCCTAATGTAATATACATTCTTTTAATACTAATTTCATTTATCAAAATTAACTACTAAGCACATACAATTATTATCCCATCAGCTCTCATAATCTTATGATCATTGAAGCCACTGTAAAGGTCAGATCATCGTAGTTACTTTAATATCAACATTAATTTTCCAGTGGTTAACAAGATAACCAAAGGAATAGTTTGAAGTTGTAAACAGAAAGTAAACTAGACAGATTTTCTGAACCTTTACCCTTCTCTGTTTGTTTTTGTCATCATTGGGAAAATTAATATATTTATTGAAAACAATACAAAAGATGTACCAAATCATAGCTATTCTTACCTTAGGCATTTGAGGATGACTGAAGTCCTTATCAATAACAACACCACGAACTAAAATAGTGTCTTCTAATCTACCTCCAACTTTTCCTTCTACTTTTATAAGTTCAAAATTTACATCAGGTGGATTTTCGGTTGAAACTGCAAACACAGCCTCTACAGCTATTTCTGCCATTTGCCTATTAAACTTGTTGATGCTAGAAAATAACAAAGAAAATATTGCTATGCTATATCTACAATAAACACACGAAAATATAAAATTCCTTCTTATTACATCTTTGAACCAAGACTGGTCATAGCAAGTTTGATGTATGTTTCACGATCAGTCACAAAGTCTTCTGCGATACTTTTCAGATGCTCTGTTGCACATCTTGCTGCACTTTCAAAACCATCCGCTATTCTAAGTGGATGAATTCCTTTATCTAACAGTTGTTCTGCTTGCTCTAACATAGCACCAGCTAATACTACTACTCCGGTAGTACCATCTCCAATTTCATCATCTTGGGATTGAGATAATTGCACCATTAATTTGGCAATTTCATGATCTACATCCATGTTCTTCAAGATAGTTGCTCCATCGTTTGTTACGGTAACATCTCCATCGGAACTTACCATTAACTTATCAAGACCTTTTGGTCCCAAAGAAGTTTTAAGAATATTAGCCACATTACGAGCTGCTAAAATGTGTGACTGAAAATGAAAAATTACTTAATTATTATATACATAAATATACATACAGTAAGTCACAAGAGTATTTACATAGTATGTTTGCAGACAGCAAATGGTTGATATGTTTTTCAGGATAAATATTACATTTTGTAAATGTTACACTGTATTAATTTCTGATTGATACGAATTTAAATAAACGATGGACAAACTATTGATCACAGAAGTATTCTTACTACACATAACATGAATGCACAGAATTAAAATATTTATAAATTTGACCAACCTTAACTTTCAGTCTTCTCCAATACAATACACTCTACATGAGAACCCAATTGTATAATATTGCCAGAAATAGTTAGTGTCAAAAGTGGGGTGAGAAAAGTGAGCGAAGTTTCCTTTATAGAAAGAAAATTAATCTGTAAATAGTATAATAAAGGAAAGTTTATTAAAAACTTGCAAATTTGAGAAATAGAAGTATGTCTATAGAAGAATGTATGATTAAAAATATAAAATCAAATGAATCCATGACAAACAAACAATTCAATAAACATAAAAAGAAATAACTTGCAATGAGAAAACTTAAGTTTTCTGTCTTAAGAAAAATAGTTACACACCATGTAATATGACTACGCATCCCATTGTCAGATACAAATATGGTAGATGACTTCCACACATTGACTCTAATGTTTTTTATGCTCAGTATATATTCCATACCAAGAGTCTCATATGTTGTTGTAGAATAAGAGGTTTAACATTTAGACTTAGCAAAAAATATGCTGATATATAATAGTAAATTTGCCATGTTTGATTATAATAAATATACTTTAATATAGAAAAAGTCAAATATGGAGCTGATTTAAAAATTTGACAAACACAAGTGAAACATAGGGGCATATTCATCATGTCACAGGGATATATGGTTGCATATACTTTCTTAGAATAAGTATTCTAAATATGTAACTCATAACATTATCACATTGTATAAGGGACTGCTTACCCACCGCACAAAAAGTAAAATTGATTTCGGTTGTTTGGTTACATCGGTAAACATCAGTTAATCATTATATTCGTTTACTTAGGAGTATTCTGATATTGATGTGTTTTAATCAGCTAAAATCAACTATGTTGACTACTATAATGCTTGTTGCATTGAATATCTGATGCAAAAATTATATTTAAAAAGTGTTTAGGTTAATCAAAAGCATAATTAATATAATACATTTATATCAATGAGGATACTGTAACGTTACTTTATTTAAATATATCAATGATCTGATGTCACTAATTCAGGAAGAACGAATACTTCTGTGAGCCATTGCATCTTACAAAATGTAACAGTTTAATTGAAATTAATGAATTTTCATGATTCTATTGGAGTATCCAGTGAAGTCAGATTTCCTTATATGGTCAAAAACAAATACACCTATCAAAAGCCGCACATTTCCTCAAACCACCAGAGTATCTATTCTAGGTAAATAAATTGCTTTTTTAATGTACATTAAAATAACAATATGCATAATTTTAATATAAAAAATATTTCTTAAGTAATGTTTTCCCAAATAATTGCCAAGCCCAAAACGACGCCATTGCTTGCGGTTCACGTGTTCGATCCGCAAGACACGTTAATAAAAATTCTGAACTCACGAGTCCGACAGAATCATGAATACAAACGCGATAAAAACATTGTAATGGTTTTGAAGTAACGAGCTCGAAAGAAATTACTAAATAAGAAAACAAATTTACCTTAATCGCATTAACGCCGGTCAACCTCTTCTGTTTCTCCTGATCACGAAGAATAAGAAACGGCCGACCATATTCGTCGAAGGCCACAGAACCTGGTATCGCAGTCATTATGCTTACCAGTTCGTCGCGTACACTTTATATTTGCGACGCGAGCAAGGTAGCGTCAATTTTTACTAAATTACGTTCCTTCGTCAACAGAAATGTATGGACTACCTTCTTGCCTTTAACGGAAATGTGTAACGCCATCTACTTATCTACTCTAGAATATTCGAGATAAAATGGCGGTGTCACAGCCCCATGCCATGCACAGACCAGGAATACACAAGATTTATGATAGAAGGGACACTCACGTGGAAATTGTGACTCTTTTTAATGACACGTTGAACCTTCAGTTGAAGTTATCATTTGTTGTCACAAACTGATAGAAAAGTATTCTGTTTTCTAGATCAACTATGAAAAAAGCTTTTGTGTGATCTATAGTTGCAGAAATCAAAGTTATAAAATACATTTGTTGTTATTTTTTGTGGAAGTGCATATCTAATGATGCACTGTTACTTTTGGAGAAGTATATTTGTTCAGGAAAATGTAAATAATATTCTTAAGAAGACAAAAAGAAAAAATATAAGGTTGCACAAGTCAGTTAAGAAGAGGCCAAGTTTACGTACGTACATACTATACATTTATATAGTCAACTTATTGTCGACTTATACAGGGTGTCCCAAAAATGTTGTAACACATTAAAAGAGGTGGTCGGGAGGTGATTTGAAATAACTTTTTTCTTAGCGAAAATGTTGTCCGAGGCTTTGTTGAGGAGATATTAACGGAAAACATTGACTAATCAGAGCGCGCGTATATCGTTGGAGCGGCCGCGGTAGCCTATGAGCGCGGCCGCCTAGCGCGTAGCCTACGCTCCAACGGTATACGCGCGCTCTGATTGGTCAATGTTTTCCGTTAATATCTCCTCAACAAAGCCTCGGACAACATTTTCGCTAAGAAAAAAGTTGTTTCAAATCACCTCCCGACTACCTCTTTCAATGTGTTACAACATTTTTGGGACACCCTGTATAGTCAAAGGTTAAAGTAAAGTCTGTGGCGCCTCCTACAGTTCGCGGAAGAAGTAACATTGAAGGAGTGCATGCGTACGTTACTTGATCAGTTATTCAATTTATATAAGTACTTTAATGTTAATTTTTTAGTTTTTATAAAACATAATTCAGTTATTCATCAATTCAACATTCTTCAACAAGAATGTCCGATTTTCTTCTTTGACCGTCCCTTTATATGTAAAAAAAAGTTTCAATATCAAAAATTAATTATATCCCAGATAGCACAGGGACATCCAATGGACCTCCTACGGACGTCCAGATAACGTCCAAACGTACCCTAAACGTCCTGTGAACGTCCTGTGAACGTCCCTGGGACGTCCGGCGTGGACATTCTATGTACGTCCCTGGGACGTCCGATGTGGACATTCTTAGAACGTTCTCTGTACGTTCCCTGTACGTTCGGTGCTGGACATTCCCAGAACGTTTTCTGCACGTCTATGAGACGTCCGGTGCTATCTGGGATAATAATATTAATTAATTAATATTATTTACAATTGTAAATAGTGTATTTTATATTCGGAAAAAAATATTCTGTTCTACATATTGAATAAATATTATATTATAAATAATATTAATAAATAATATTTATTTTGTTTAAAAAAAAGTATTTGACGTATCTGGAACGTACAAAATTTACGTCCCATAGACGTTCTAAGGACGTCCGACAACGGACGTCAAACGTTTGGACGTAAACTGGGCATAAAATGGACGTCCATTGGACGTCCGGTGCTATCTGGGATCTGGAAATTATATTTATAATTCTAATACATATGTATTAGAAAAATCCATTAGCTGGACCAGACTACCCCCTTAAGGGGGGAAACAGGTTTAGGATTACGTTTTTTTAATGATTTGCATAAATTTTTTTAACAAGAAAGGAATGGATAATTTAATGGAACTTTGAGAATATTCTATACACATATTCTAGTAAATATTGTAATCTTTTGGAAGTATTTCCTCGGATAATAATTTTTGGAAAAAAAATATAACCGACTTCAAAACAATATAACATGTATATCATTGTTGATATATTAATATATCAACAATTGTTGCTCCTGTGAAGTACGAACAAATTGAACTGTCATTTTTCTCGTATAGTGTAGCTTGATTATAGGATATGTCAAAATATGCTTTATTAATTTTATCTGCTTCAGAAATTATTCTATATGTAGCTACAATAAAAAAAAACAACCAGTCCATAGTGCTTAGGATTCGCCAAAATCGTTACAGTTATTTCTAAATAGAGTAAAAAGTACGTACATATATGTGTTTGCGGAAAGGCCAAAGAAACTAATGCAAGAGGAACAGATTCAATCGTTTTGTATGCACCCACAATGTATTTCACATTAAACTCTGCATTATAATTTTGAACAGTACATATACATAGTTATACACATATAATCGTGTTGGAATTCATTCGATAGAGGTACTTTTGACTCGAGCCTGAAGTGGCCATAGTCCCCCAATGTGTCGTACGTTAAAATAACACGCGAAAGAGAAAGGTTTTCCAAATTTTCCTGTCAAAAGAAGGAATTTCCTAGTTACGTGATATGTATTAGTCCCAATTCGTAATATAATCTTCATCCACAATTAGCGATTACTGAACGATTAAATAATTAAGTAAACAGAGAAAGACAAAACGTTTGCACAAGGGGACCTGGATTAAAACTTACATTTATACAATCGTTAATAATTCACTTATTACAATTGATAATTGAATATTGGGATGAAAGTCGTTTAATCTGAACAAAGGCTCGAATCAATCCAACGAAGTACTTTGATTATCTTTGCTTACATTACGTACGCACGACGCATCGGAGGGTAGTTAAATTACGTTATAGATATACGCCTCCGGAAAATATATGAATACTATGTAAATATATAACGTTTAAGTATACATATCGGTCGAAGATAAAAATATAATTTCAGTAAGATATATATCTCGTATAATAACATTCACAAACTCTCTTAATGGATTAGGCATTCACATGATATGTTTAGAGTTCTCTTATACTATAAAGGTCAACGTTGGAAGTATAATATTCTCGTGTAACTAGAAATACGTTATTTTTTATGTTTTTGTTTTTTTTTTTTTTATTATTTGTTTGTGTGTTTGGACTCTCTCGATTTGCCTAGCATCAGTGGCGTAGAAACGAGGGGTTTGTCCAGATTTTGCAACAGGTACTTGACGCATCAGAAAATGTTTTGCAAACAGTGTTTCGACGTAAACACCGCGATTTCTGAATTATAACAATCGTAACATTTGCTTCGTTCCCGTTCCATAACTCCACGACTATGATCGTGATTGTAGCACGTTCCTTCGCCGTGTACGCATAGAATGCATTCATTTAAAACCACAATTACAATAAACATTTACTATTACGAATCCCAAAGTTATCGGTGTCGTCTTCAGATATACTAAAAGTAACATACGTACATACACATATGTGTGTATGGATACATGTTACTTTTAATGTGTATATATCATATATATATTTAAAGTAACAATTTTCACAGACATATAAGTACATATATACGTATTTATGTGTTTCTTTAATAACGTTACATTTAATTCTACGATTTTAATAACATTTAACGAAGCGACCTCCGAGGTTTCAATATTCAATAGAGCGATTCCCGCGATTTAATTCTTAATAGAGCAATGTTCACACATAAATGAGTCATTCTGGCGAATAGTCTACGCACATAACTCTAAGAATTTGGAATATAGGCTACGCGAAGCAACGCTGACTTGATATGTATATTTTCGAATCTTCTGGACGCGTATCGATTACGATACATTTGTCTTCGAATTCCAATACACGACTTAACGACGAAACAATGCAATAAGTAAATTACTCTTGTAGACACCGACGAAGTGTTGTTTCGTTTTCGTAAGTTTCAAATGATCGGTTAGATCGAGAACGTTGATGCCGTAGTTTTTATGTCACATCGATGAAATATTTCTTCCCCAAAAGTATTCCTTTACCACTGATATCTGAAGGATTGGTCTGATCTCTTTTCGAGAATCAGGAGAATGAATATGTATATTATGTATATAGTTTTCCTCTGTGTGCGTTGAGTAGTTCAAGGAGACATCTTACGAATAAATTCAGGAAACTCGATTCGCGGATCTCTCGAAATCGTCAGTTCAACAATCGCTGAAAATAGTATCAGTTTTGCTTGTGCAGAGGGCAAAGTAAATAAACCTAACGCAAGAAGAAATGTTACACACTTTCTCTCTCTCTCTCTCTCTCTCTCTCTCTCTCTCTCTCTCTCTCTCTCTCTCTCTCTCAGTCGTTGTTTCAAATGCAAAAAAATGTTTGAACAAAGAATTAATGAAATCCTTTGATACCTAGGACTATTATTCCACTGAATGTTAACTTAGGAGTAAATTAATATATTTTAACCGTACTTACTGAAGTAACGTCACCCCTTACTAGGACTATTGTACTCATAGTTCGCGTCCTATCTACTCGACTGCTATTTAAATTCTAATCTTTATTTATGACAAACAGAAGAGTCGAAAGAACGAAAGTTTTAAGTACCCTGAACACGTTGCTCGTCGATAATTAGCATAGTTTTTGGAAACGCGCCCCATAATTCTCCTCATTGATATGTATCTTTACCTTACGATTCTACGAGACGGGATATTCTGATATGTATCGTATTTTTCAGTCATAGTGTTAGGAGAGAAGCGATTTGGAAGGCGCGTTTACGTTCTTCCCGAATCTTCCTGCTAGCTTCGGCGATGTTCGCTATTATATTACGCGAATCATCATCGTCGGCAGGCGTGGATCGGGAACGTCGAACGAATCGAGAGAATTTATAACTGACAGACTTACATACTAGGCTTTTCTGCAGTAATTACATGTAAGATAGATTTGATTCGCATAGACACTCCTTCCACTTTCACTGGGTATCGAGGAACGATCGAGATTTTAGGCGAATGGGACCCGTTTGAAGATTCGGTTTCCCTGTCCAGTGATCCGCTTCTCACCGGAAGTGTACTGCACAACGGACTTGATCTGATCCGTTGCCACCGGTCCGATGCACACCAGTGGATCCTTGAAGTACGAACAAACCTGGGCAGAGACAAGAACTTTCTTGTGTAACAATGCCGAGTTGTAGTCGGGTGAAGAAGAAACTGGGTCGTTTTTTGGAATTGTTTGGGCTAGGTTGGCAAACACGGTTACAGAAAAAGGTATCCACACTATAAAACTTGAAATTATGTACATACATAATTGATTCTAAAAAAGAATAGAATTTTTGCTAGATAAAAATTAAAACTCTTTCACAAAGTAACTTTGTCTGGAATGGGGCGAGCAATTTAATAAATTCACGCGTTTTTTAGAGAGGGAAATTTTGCAACTCTTCGACTAATGCGCTAATGGCGTTGCCTGAATTATGCATCGTTAGTTTGACGAACACAGTTACCTTCAGGAGGATACATCCCATAACATATTTTACGTACTTAATCAATTTAAAACTGGGAATAACAAATTTTGACTTGCTTTGATATAAATACAAAGTTATACTGTATTTAATTCTAAGTTTTAATTTGTTTTCCAATGTTATAAATTAAGTATAATTTATGTCTGTAATTTAGTTTTGAAAAGGGTACGATTTTTAAGAACTAAAAATTCAAGTAAAATATTTGTCATATATTTTTTATGTGAAATTAAAGAATGAGGGGCATTTACTAATTGAGATCAGCGAAATATGTATAATATGATACAAAAATAAATTAATTTTTAGATTAATAAAAGACCTTTAAGCAGAGACAGCTGATAGGTGGGGTGAAAAATAATATAAATAATGCAAAAACAGTTTCTGAAAGGTCACTCTCCAAGGTACTATAATATTGAATCTAACAAATACAAAAATCGTCTGATAAATTATACACAACGCGTGTTATGAGATTTTTACACTCTCTTAATCTAGTGACATTTAACATATTAATTACCTATTTTGGTTCAAGTACTGCAAAATAAATATTTACTAACTTCGTACTTTTAAAACGATTTTTAATTTGTAACATTGATATTAATTAATTATGTTTAGCAAGAGGATCCTTCAGCCAAGTTCCCAAAATTTTGATAATACTTAGGGGATGAAGGTGAATTTCTAATGATTACATTCTATATAATATTTGATTCAATGGATATTTTGTGTACCAAAATCTGTAACTGGAAGACGTTAGGCTAGGATGTACAGTGGGTGTAGAAAGTATTCGTACACCGATCAATTTCCAAAAAAAACTATGTAAAATTGTAATTTATTAACTTATTTTTTATAAATAATGTCATTCTACATATTCTCGGAAATCTCTAGAATAAATAGAGTACAAAAAAAAATAGCTATTTATGTAAATTGCGAAATTAACAAGAAAAAAACGATTAATCGATAGAAATATTAAGGCAATAAGAATTCGCACAACTGTTTAATTTTTAAAACTTCATTAAAAAAAAAAAAAGAAATTTACATTAATTTATAAGTATGTAGTACTTCCTTCGTGGGATTTTCTTTTGATTTTATAATTATTGTGCAATTTATAATTTTATATAATTACTCTTCTAAGCATTAAATTAACTAAATTATTAGTTATTCGAAGTGGGATCTTTTTCCATTCCTCTATTAGAGCCATTTTTAAAAGTACTTTACTGGAAATTTGATGTTTTTTAAATCGTACGGAGCAATAAACTAATGTGTTTACGTTACAAACTCAACTGTAAATGGTTCGTTACTTTTACCCACTTTTCGCATTTTTTTTGTTAATTTCACAAATTATATTAACTAGTAAATGTTGTTTGGACTATATCTATCTTAGAGACTTCCGAGAATATGTAAGATATCACTGATTATTGTTGAATCTCGTGGTTAATTGGCGCGTCAGAGTGTGTGTGTTCGAATGGCGGGCTCCTGGTCCGCGCGTTTTTCTTTTTTAAGTTCAATTGTTCTTTGATAATATTGTCCAACAAATATATTATATCAACTCGTGCAGATAAGTTGTTCTGTGATTTGTGGTACCAAAGGAAATCATTTCTCATCCCAAACCAAGTAAAAAGTCCAACAATATTATAAAAAAAGAAGTTAAGAAACTACAATTTCACGCAAAAGATTTTTGGGAAATTGATCAGTGTACGAATACATTCTACACCCACTGTAATTCGCTTTCCCTAGTTTGTAAATCACTGGGATATAGCGAAGGACGCGTTAAATAAGAAACAATATGAAAGTACGATATTCTAATACCTTTCTGGCTGTTTGTCGATGACGTCTTTGAAGCTGACAACACAAGCCACGGCTGATGTCACATTCGCCAGACATGTTGCACTCCTCGTCTGTAATCATTCGTTACAGTTGCTTCCACATTTAGAAGATAAATATAAACGTGTCACGTGAGACCTTATAATTATCCCTTTGACGTAAAACCGATTGTGCAGTGACCTTTATCGACTGACTTTAAACGCTTTACGTGGGACAATGTTACAGGTCATCTTTCGCTCATCAGATCAAGGTTAGCTTTGCTTACTGTATAGCTTGTTGGATGTCACCGGTGGTTGACACGAACGAGTCTCACTGCCGGGTATCTCGGCACACATTAAACCAGTCTCGCAGTCGTTGTCCCTTCTGCATAGCTCGCCCTGTTTTTGTCCAAGTTGGAACACGCAATGGCCTTCCACTGAACCCGTCGAAAGAAATTATTGTAAAAGCATAACTTAAATTGGTTTCTAATCGAATTAATTTGAAACGTTTAAGTGAAAGGAGAAGCTTATCTAGGACGGAAAAAAGGAGCATATTTATGTATTTTTTGGGAACGAATGGAAAATTTTCTGATAATCAGGGTATTCGAAAGAACGTTTCTTAGTGGCGCTAAGTTGGTGCAGGTATCACGATTTTTGTTTTTAAACATATCTTAAATTAACAAAGTTGCATCGTTGTCATTATTTCCTCATGTATTCCACGATGAACATTCTACGTTAGAGCTGAGTTATCCGAAATTTAAAAAATGAAGCATTTTTCAATAACATATTAAATTTTCTAAGTGCTATCGAGAGGTTTTTTTGGAAAATAATTTTGAGCAAATCTTAATCTACAGCTAACTCAGATATGACTTCGCAGTCATTCCAATGCGTTGAAGGGTTTCGTTGAAACATGTTTGAGAAACATTGAAATTCTATGCAAGTTTTCGAGTCGTAATTCGACGATTCATAGCAAAAGTCCTCACTGAATTATCCTCATCTATTGTTTTTGGTAGCTCAACACGTGAGACACTTTCTAAGCGAATTTTCCAAATTGCTTTTGACGTGTGAATCTTTATAGTATCTTTTTCATATGTATTACAAATATTTTTAGCAATTTCTGTGACTGTAGTATCTCTACAAAACTCGTACAGCAGGATGTGTTGAATATGCGTCTTATCAGTAGTTATTTTTTATGTATTTTTAACAACCAAAAGCAATAATTGAATGTTTCAAATATACGCGTATTTAAGACAAGTGGTAGAAGAATAATGTAGATTATAAGAAAGAAAAATAAAACTTTCTTTGACTTACAATTTTCCTAATAGCCTCAAAGATAAATTAAAAAAAAAAGGATATTATTAATAATTCGATTATAATCGAAGATGGCGGAAATCAAATACATACACCTTGAATTGCACATATGTACGTGTGCTTTTTGGAATGTTAGCAAAAAATTAAATTACTATCTAAGTTAAAATAGTTAAGACCTAGAATGCTGCTACAAAAATTGCATAAGTAATACAAGTACAAAAATATGAGTTAACTTGTGATCGATGAGCAATGTTAGGTCATGAACACACGAGCATACTCGTGAGTGGTCAAGAAAGTGTTAAAATGATTTGTTTCGTAAAGGCTAGAGGACTCATTTATGCCACTGATTGTAAGAGAGAAAAAACATTACTAACCTCCGTCGACGTTAATGCAAATAGAACCTGGACAACAATGTTCGTTGGCTGTACACTGTCTCTGATCGCATGGCACGTACGGGTCGTCTTCCAAAGAATCTCCGTAAGCGTTTCCATAGGAAGCAGATAATGGCCGCTTTAATAGGAACATAAAAGGTTAGAAATGCATTCGATTTTGATGATTAAACGTTTTATAAATATTATAGCAGTTTGGATATAGTGATTTTGACATTTTTAAAGAATTTTGTTCGCATAGAGTCGGTCACAAAAATATTGAAACAGAATTATTATTTTGATTTCTAAGTTTTATATTTTAAATAAAATAACTAGAAATAGAAATCTTGTTAGAATATGGATTATCAAAACGTTTAACAATGATGCGAAACAGTACATTTCATTACAAATATGAGGATATTATATCAGTTAAGTTTCAAATTAATCTAATGTAAGCCAAATTAAAAACGTTCCACTTAAATATTCCTACACTTTTACTGTCAAATTGCCTTTGTTTTACGATGATACAGTCATTCCCAAATTCGAATATTTTTATTAAGCAATATTTTTCCTTAATATTTAAATCACCACAGACACTGCGATCTGTTTTCATCGGGACACCTTGTATACACACTGTGTGCGTTCGGAGATTGCTCGATTAGAGACACGTAATTTTCATCCGATTTGCAGTCAATAACAAAGCGAATCTAATGACGCTACTCTCGCGAGAATAGCTTGCGGCAGCGAAAAGCTTTCATAAGTGCTTGCTATTACGTGAAAACAATATTATCGATCGCCAACCGTACTGCGGCAAAGTTGCAACGACCTAGAAGTATTCGTACTCTCTCAATTGTGTTGAATTGAAATGTTGATTTCAAACTCGTATGATACACTTCAACGACAATATGTTGTAAGATCTTTATAGATAAATGTACACACTCTCTTAATCTCCGGACGTCCATGGGAGAATAAAGAAATGTCCACAAAGTTCTAAACGCTAGCTTTTTTTGCTGAAGAAAACTCGTGTTGGAGGAATCGCTAAGCCCCTACTGTGGCTACAACGAAACATAGCTCCTGAGGATTATCCCAAGAAAAAGAATTTCTCACCTGATATAATCCTGTTCTGCTCATGTAGTCGCCATGAGCACCGTAACCAAGATTCGACAGCATCTCGGGACTGAAACGATTAAAGAGACCACCCCATGCCTCGACGCCAAGGTGCATCGAGCCCGCCAGAGCGACGACGGCCAATGCAACGCATGTGTACATCTTCGTTTATGTAGCAGGGATGTCGGATCACGTACGAGTGGTTAAAATTCTGAAACCAAATATATCAAGACATTAACAATTTATTTACCGGGAGCCTATTTTTAGGCTTTTTTTTTTATTATTTGAGAACCTCAGATAAGGTTCATATATACAGTAGTATGTATAATACAGTTTACGTGTACATTATATCCGCAGTTTACATTCTTTTAAAAACTCAAAAATACATAGACAAGCTGCAATATTAGGTTTTGCAACAAGCGATTCAACATTAAGTGGGAAACACAGTTTCATCTCTTGGAGCTTCTTAATTATCTTGGTCCTTGAACTATCGTAGAGCCTGCATTGCCAAATCACATGATTGATGTCTTCGATTTCATAGTTAATAAGGGTCGCTTATTACCTTAAAATTGCAGTATTTAGCTGTTTGAATTTATTCACTGTGTTGATGGTTGTCTACTTACAATGTTTAGTGTTTAAAAACAGACTTGGCTTTCAATGTACCTAATAATAGTATGAAGGAATCATTGTTAGCCTAGATTAACCTATGATATTGTAGAAAATTCTTTTTTGAATTAAAGTCTGTTTCTAAATAGCCCGGTAGATAAAGTGTTAAGAGTGGAATTGTTTTTATCTGAGACGAAAAATGGATTCTTTATTTTGACAGAATTTCATAAAGCATCCCTTGATGAACAATAGTGACAAATTTCTAAAGTCTAAATTCATAAAATTGGTGAATATTTGGGTACCTGAGTTTAAACGAGCATTTTCTTTATTTCTACACTTACACGGTACATTTTGCTTCACCCAATAAGCACACTCATATAATTTAAGGGGAGAAATAGGTTTAAGACTACGTTTTTTAGTGATTTGCATGAATTTTTATAGCAAGAAAGGAATGTATATAATTTAGTAAAACTTTGAGAACATTTTATACATATGTTGAAATGAATATTGTAATTTTTTCGAAGTATTTCCATGCAAAATATGGAAGATAGCTACCACCTGTGGGAGATCAACATGAAACTTAGGTGTTTTACGTACATTCTGGAGGCCGTCGTCTTCATCTGAAATCAATAGGGATTTAAATTTACTTTAAATACATGTCTTTCTTCTATATGAATCCAAATTCCCCCTAAAAAATTGAATATTGCATTTTCAGAGGTGTTTAAACGAGAGAGCATAACTTTTTCCCATTTTTGTAAAATCTTTTTTGCAATTAAAAGATACTTGAAACAATGATATTACTCCGAATGTAGGTTCTTATAGAAGAAAGACATGTCTTTAAAGTAAATTTAAATCCCTATTGACTTTCAGACTGATATCTTGCATATTTTCCGAGGAAGTACTTCCAAAAAATTATAATATTCACTTGAATATATGTATAAAACATTGTCAAAGTTTCATTAAATTACATACATTCCTTCCTTGCTAAAAAAATTCATGCAAATCGCTAAACACGAATTTCTAAACCTATTTCCCCTCCTAATAAACTATTAAACTATCTATCTAACTATAAACTAACTATCTCTTGTGTCAGACCAACCGTTTCCAAATATCTTGAGAACCATGAAGATACCGACTACGACAGGAGTTATTTTAAAATTAATATAAATCAATAAATAAGTCATAAAATTCATATAAAAATTTTTGTATACTCTTTCTGAACACTATTATTAATAGAAAAACATTGAAATCGTTCTTTATTTTATAAACCTCGAAAGAAATTCTTGAAATATGCTTAATTTTTCTGTCGTCGCACTAGAAATGGAACTAAAAAGATCCATTAAAAAAAGGCTTCGAGGAGGTGCTTCTTCCATATCGACAGAATCTTACAGTCCACTCCTTGAAGGACAATTGTGCAAAATTTCAAATAAAAATTCACAAAATTTCAGAAGTTATGGAGCTTGGAGTATAAGTCTGTTTTTGAAGGTCCAGTGGTTCCTTCCTTCTAAAAAATGTACTTGAACCTTAAAACGCGTTTTTCTCGAAACCATATTTTCGAAGCTGGTTTATACTATTTCAGAAGCACTATTAGACCGATCGGCTAATAATTAGAATTTTTGTCAAAGAAAAATACGCATTTGGCGAGATGTGTCGAATATTTTGTATAACCTTTCGTTTGCCATTCAGAATGTTGAACTCGATTAGTCTTCATTACAAATTAAACGAAATAAAGACATCAGGTAGGATGTCCGTTTCAATATTGAAAATTAAATTGGTATTGGCTTGTTTGAATGAACCTTCGCATTTATCGCAGTCAGCTGCAATCTAATGAGGCGTTCTGATTAATTACAGTGACACGTGATAAAGAGTTGTATGCGACATTGTGAGTGTAATAGATCTACGCAACACCCTTTATGTAGAGTTATATTGACGCCACCAATCACCAATTAATACATTGAGTCTCGTCTAATTAGATTGAGGCTTAATAAAAGCTTATATGCAGCGTTGCGAAGGTAATAGACCTGCGCAGCCCTATCCGCATGACGCACTAATTGGAGTGCCTACCTAACACGGAAACAGAACTTAATAAAATGATATTTTATTCACTATTTTAAATAAAAGATTCTACAATATTAGATGTAGTTAGAATAAAATAATATTTTACATATCAAGCAAGATATTATCACGTAAAATATTTTTATTTTGATAACCTGAAATCAAAATTAAGTGTTCTGTATTTGTATTTTCAATATGCGTTCAATCAGACAAGCTAAGGAAAGAAATACTCATTAGATAGAAAGCGACAGTAATGTTTGACAAAATATACGCATTGTTAGTGTAATCATTACTATTCGAAATGGTCATTGACAACAACTTGGAATACGCGAATCAATGTCGTCTAAACATTTCGGTAATTCTGATTTTTCAATGTTAGAAATAATTTGAAAAGAAATAAAAATGAATGAAATATTTCCAATGTTTGATATCTGGTAGTAATATTATCTGATGAAATACTATCTTTAAAATTTATTCTAACGAACGAAATAATTTATTTTAAACGTCACATGCGCGATTTAAAATAAAATAAATTATATACTATGTATTATTTCAAATAATATTTTACCCAGCTCTATTTGGAAATGGATAAAAACTGATTTCAGTAGTAAAGGCATTATTTTGAAAATATGTATTAGGTTGAAATTTGAAAAATAAACAATGTTACACATGGATTGCAAATTGTATGCATTTATAACATATAAGAATATAAAAAGTATAGAAAGGTTATATGAATTTGTCAAATAGTTGTCTTTGTACGTATATATTTTGCAAGTCTTTTCCATATTAACATGCTATAAATGTACGAAATCAACAATTACGTTATAAAACTTTCAGTCGAACTCTCTACATAATTTAAACACTCAACTTTGAATGATTACACTCGAAACCAAAAGGATCTTTTTCCTAGAACAGCTGTTTAAGCTCAAAAGTTCAAATTTTGAATTAAAATGTTCGATATTTTTAACAATAAAGAACAAACTATGCAACGTATAATCTCGCTTGTTCGTTAGACAATACAGGGATCATTTCTGAGCATACAGTCGAAATTTGAAAATAATCGATCCAATAGACTTTCTAAAATTGTGTTAATCAGCTTCGAAAATACGGTTTTGAGAAAAACGTGTTTAACACGTTGATTGCCAAGCTAATACTCGTGAAAATCTCTGAGTGACTAAAATTGTGTTTCGAGACTTTTCAATGAAAGTCTGTACTTTTGCACTTTAGACCAGATTATCCTCTCAGCGACGGACTATGTCTGGCTTGGGCACTAGTGATCTACTTGAGATACAAACGCGTGGTTATTTAAGGGGAATTTCGCAATTTTAAAGTAGTCAAAAGCAGGATGGAAGGTCCGTTATAGAATGAATTCTAAGTATTAGATGCCTACAAGTGTTAAATGTTTTAGCCAGCCTTCATAAAGCCTGCAGTCTCTGGTTACTGTTCACATTCTATTTACTAATGCCTTAACCCGAGACCGATATTAATTTGTTCTCAAATTACACTTAATGAATACATACATATGTCCAAGAAATTAAAAATTCCCATGTTTAATACTATTTTTTAAAATAAATATGCAATAAAAGTCTGTACTTCTGCACTTTAAATCAGACTATCCTCTCAGCGACGGACTATGTCTGGCTTTGGCACTAGTGATCTACTTGAGATACGATCGCGTGGTTACACTGTCTGGTTACTGTTCGCATTCTACTTACTCATGCCTTAACCCGAGACCGATATTAATTTGTTCTCAAATTACACTTAATGAATGCACGAATATGTCCATGTAATGTGAAATTCCCATGTTTAATACTATTTTTTAAAATAAATATGCAATGAAAGTCTGTAATTCTGCACTTTAGATCAGACTATCCTCTCAGTAAAGAAGGTTACATGTTAAAGTAATCGAATAATATTGCATGCGAATAGAAATGTCAGTTCAGGAAAGAATTGTAAGCATTAGGTGTCTGTGAGGGTGAGAAATTGTAATCAGCTTTTGTAAAGTCTGCACTGGTTACTATTCACGTTCTCATTGAACCGGTACTGATATTCAATTCTCCCCAGGATTCACTCATTGTACCCAAAAATATGTGCACAAAAGACGCAATCGATAAATCTGGTACTCTCTCCCAAATAAATACCTCAAATTAAAACAGTACCTACGACTAAAACAGTAGTAATTGTCTGCTAACGCTCCGATCCACTTAAACGGAATTGACAATTATGGTTGTACCAACTATTTTCGTAAAATATTTATAAATACGAATCAAGATAGTGATGTGAGGGTAATAGAAGAACAGTGTTGAAATTAAAAATTGAAGAACAGTTGCACAACTTACGAAATTGTCAGTTTAAACCTTGACTTAGGTTGACCGGTGATTCTCGATAGGTTCGAAGAAGGTGCTTCTAGGTGTTCCCAAGATCAACAAGTCCTCGATGGAGTTTGCTGGAGGACTGAGTCTGAGCCGCGCTTGCATTGGCAATCTATACTCCTACGTCGTTCCGGTCTCCCTTGTGCAGACTCGTAGAGTAAGTCCGCGCAGGCGTGCTGGCTGATTTTTTATCATGCACACGACCTTATAGTCTGCTGCACGGGAGGATGAAGTAGATTTAAATGAAACCACGTGACTGCGCCAGGGACGTGTCAGTGGCAGAGATACGCAAAATTTTTGTTTAGAGAAAAAATAGATAATTATTTGTTTCATATAAAATATTCTATATAAAATAGAAAATGAAAACAGTTTTTTTTTAACCCCACTTTACTTAAGGTGCAGTGTGTAGTAATTACATTTATATTTATACTTTAACTACAATTTAACAAATGTATTGTATTTTCTTAAGGAGTCTCTCTGGTATGACAAGCGAAAAATGAAACGCTTGAGGAAATTTTTTTAAAGTTTATAAAACAAAGAACAATTCGAATGTTTTTTCTTCTAATAATATTACTCACAAAGAGTGTACAAATATTTTTGTACGAATTTCATAAAACTTAGTTATCGATTCATATTAACTTTAAAATAACTCCCGTTGTAGTCGGTATCGTCATGGTTGTCGAGATATTTTAAAAACGATTGGTCAGACACAAAATCTTTAAATAGTTTACTAAATTATACGAGTGTGCTTATCGTGTGAAGCAGACTAAACAGTGTAAGTGAAAAAATAAAGAAAATAACGATCGTTTAAACTCAAGTACTCAAATACTCACTATCTGTTGACCATTTTACGTTATAAAAAAAATATGTGGCCCACACGATGGTTACTGACGTGCAGACTAACATATTTGAATTTTAGAAAGATCGGTTCCATAGATTGTTTTTATCTTAAGAACTAGATGGAAAAAATGATGTTTCGAGATAAACGCGTCTGAAACTTTACATATGTTTGATTTCACTATAATATCTATTACTTTACATTTATTTTTATTACTCAAATTTTATCAGTACATTTTTAAATATATGTACTTCCAAAAATTGCCAAAAAAAGAATTGATGTTTAAGAGTGTCACACCAGTAAGACTAATGTACTTATTTGAAGATTTAGTTTTTGTTGTTAAGAATTAACTGTGTACCATTTGGAAGTTTTAATTCTGTTTGATCCTGTTTGATCCTGTTCTTTTTGATGGCGTTTTTCAATTGTGTCTTTTATGACGAGAAGTTTATTACAAGTTTATTATGCATTGCCTAAAAGTTTGATATTGTTGATAGTTAATATTGTTAGCATGATTTACAGTTCTTTGGTTGGTTGGGCTGGAATAGCAAGTATCATTGGTTAATTTCTTGAATTGATGTATTTTCGTTGGTGTGATGATCCATTCTTGATTTCAGTTCTCCTTTGCTGTATTTTTAATATTATTTTTCACTTCGTTAAAAGTTGTGACTTTTACAAATGTTTTTTTTTTCATCATTTTGGCAGATTTTGCTGCTTGATTTGGTTATTAGTTGTCAACGATTCCTCGATGCGATGGACCTAATAAATTCAGTTTGGATGCTTTTTTGTATTCATAGTAACATTAATGTTAATTGAATATCTTCAATTGCTTTTTTTTATCGTGGTTCTAACATCTTTAATGGCTAACAGAACTGATTGGAGTTGGTAAATATAACGAAAAGATTATCTTCCGAGGTTTTTATGTATCGCAGGACTTGTAGAATTGCATAAGCTTCACATATAAAGGTCGATATTCCTTTAGGAAGATTATTGATCAGTTCTTGAACGTTCATTACCGTTGCACAACCACCATGTTCATTGTTTATGAAGCCATTGGTGAATCGGCGTACAATTTCTTTACTTCTACGCGGTTTCCTTGAATATGAGTTAATATGTATATTATTGAGAATGTTTCTCCTTTGTTTCAGTTAGCTAATTTGAAGATAACTGTTGGTTTATTTAATCATAATAAATGTAGTCGTCGCGTTATCTGGGGCATTTCTAGTTTCCAGTCTTTTGCATGTATAAATTGTCGAATTCAGAATGGTTTTGGAATAATAAATGTATAATAGTAAATATTACAGATAATTGTCACCTTCTATGTTCTAATGGTATTTCCTCTGTCTCTGCATTGAAATTCGAATTGGAAAATGTTTCGAAGATTTCTAAAGAAAATCTGAATGAAATTTCTTGGATTGGATCAAAAATGTATAGTATCCTTTTAGATACTGAACTATATATTGGTACATCATAGTCAAGTAAGTCAAGTAAGTAGAATAAAACTTTTCTCATATTTGGTTGGAAGAGGACTGATCATATACAAATAGACCAAAATGGATGCATTTACCAGTTACGTATATAAATACTAATTCCGAAGGCTCCAATTTTTGCGACAATTTTAAAGTCGAAACCCTGTAATCGATTTTTTACTAGTTTATCGGGTCTTCTTTTTGCGTAGACCTATAGCGTATCAAATCTAGGATTTATTCCTGGCCAAAACGTCATCTCAACGCAGAGGACCAATGAAATTTCGGTCACGTGACGAGCTCTGCTTATATTCAACCCCATTGTCTCGTGGAAAGGACTTAAGTGACATTTGTCCATTCAGAATTTCAATTTCACGTTTGCTTAGTTCCGCGTGACAACCTTAATAGAAGTACGAGACGCTCCTCTTTTCTTTCTCATTATTCGATTCGTCAATTTGAGTATCTACGCTATCATCATCAGCGTATAATTTCCATGGGAATAATCATCAACACGTAGAACGATCGTTTCTCGTTAAATCAACGCAGCGAACGATTCCGTTTGTTTGCTTCGTTGAATCTTCCCGTCGGTTATGTTTGCTTCGTAAATGCGATACGAATGGAATCCTCGATCACAGCCTCGAACAGCTTCAATCGTTTTGTTTTCAACATGCGCGAAAATTCTGGAAGGATTTCCGCGAAGCAGCGTTGAAGAACTGTATCGTCGGGTGTCTATTTTAAGCGAGAGCGTTCGCAACACACTTTTTGCGAGGAAAGTTCTAGCTTTATTTTGAAAGCTATTCCGGTTATAGTTGTTTAAACGGAGATGGAAGAGACCGAGAAAATTGCATCCTCACCCAGGACATAGCAGCGCCGCGTTGAACGGGCGCATATCGTGTAGGTGGTTAGCTCTGTCCCCGTCGGCGCAGTTGGACGGCCATTGTTTCGGTCTCTCTTGGTCGTATTGATCCGAGGTGTCCTGATGTTCTACCGGGCGGTCGATCCTGCTCCATATATTTGCTGCCTACATGGCTCACGGTTAGCACACCTGTACTTGTCCGCGCGAAGGTAGATCAGATACTCTTCGTTAATCCTTTCAGAGCGGCTTTCGATTCCGTAATTGAATATTTTTCCGCGATTGTTCCATTCTTTAAACCTCTTAGTACCTCAGAGCCGATATATCATGAGTAGATGATTTTTATGCATTTATAAACAAATTTGAATGTGCAAGGAACGACTAAACGCAAACGGTATGGAATAGTATAAAGAAATATTGGAAGCGAGGTTCATATTATAATATTTTTAAGGTGAAATAAATTCCTATTTAGGTACAATTTTTATTAGTACATTTGCAAAGATTTTATTTTGCATAAAGATCCGCTGTATAAACATGAGAAATACCTGGAGTCTATTTTTTGTATTTATTTCAGTAATCGGAAATAACCCATTATTACACAAAGGGTATTACGAGATATAGTTAAGGGTAAATCCACAGAACTTTTAGATTAAATATTTAAATATTGAATAAAAAATTGTTTGCTTTCGATATTATGATTTAAAACTTTTTTTTTGAATTTTACTTCCTGACATCCACACCGTCAAGTTAAACGTCAGATTTCATAAACTGTAAACAAAATTCGATGGTTCCATTTAAAAAAATGATACCTTAATGTATGGCCTTAATACCATTTATTGATTCGAAAAAATATCTTTGACAACAATTTCATATCTCATCGAGATGCACAACTTTTGTTTGAAATATTTTTTGAAGTATTGCTTCAGTTATGGTAATGTTTATTTATAGTACTTTCGATTTCTCTTTATGATTTTCCACTTTCTTAATGAAAATTGACTACGCTACTTCTTACATCTAAACTACTGTAGCTTCTACTCTGTTTCTCTCCATGGTAATTTGATAATTTTCTTCGCTGATATGTTAACTGATCATTATAACAGTTTATACTTTGTACAAAAAATACTAGACGAAGACAAGAGAAGATTAATTATTTTTCGTTGAATACATATGACATTCTAATAACTTTATTAGATAAGTAATACAAGGAAAAATTTTGTTTTGTTTCAATAGATGAAACAATCAGTCAAAATTTCATGATAATATCCTACCCAAATTTCATTTTAAATATTTTCAATCGAATCTTTATTTCTTTTTATAGTCAATCCGTAATACTTGGAATTGTTTCAATAAATGATAACATTTTCTTTATTTCATAGTCTTTTAAGCTCACAAGTAACAACTATAGCGTTTTAATAAGAAGCATAGAAAATTATTTTACTATTTTCTGTTATCGTTCACATACTTGTTACTTCTTGCGCGTGCCAATAATTTCACGACTCACCGTGCATTGCCGAGGATACAAAGAATTTGAAATTCTTCTCTGAACGGTTTCCCGTAGGTCTTGTTTACCTTCGTGTAGCACTGCATCACGGTCATGTGCTTCTGACAGATACGCGTTCTCAGATATTTCTTGCAAACATGCCTGCCCTTACAGGGGGCTACGAGCGCGCAAACATGATCGTGGAAATGCCAAAGTGCGCCCTTTACGTAACACGCGTAACATCTATTTACAAGGCGTAGTCGCGTGATTTATTCAGACACCGTTTTCTCAATGGGGAGAACTGAGACGGAAATCAAGATCGAAACCAAGTACGTAGACGGTGGCGAAATAAAACCGGGAACACGCCAACATGCTAGAGAATAATTAAAAGTCCCCCTCGTTTTTACTTTTTGCGTGTACATCGTACGTCTCGCAATACGCCTGGCTTTCCGAGATTAACCTGACCCTTTTTCGTGCTCGCATAAATAAAAAT